AGTCTCTAGTAGTATGACTAATCATGGTGCAAGTTGCCTCTGAAAGGGACCCTGGGGCATTTCAGGGCTTCATTATGTTGTTGGTAGTTGACATGTTGAGTGGATAAATCAAGAAATAGATAACCCAAGACAATAGCGGGACTAAAATTTCTTTATATATAAAATATGTAGCACTGTAGCACTGTCCTCCCATTGTTCATCAATTTACTCCAGCAGGCACCAGTAACATATCCATTGTGAGACTTGTTACTGTTTTTGGCATATGAAATATGCCACGGGGAGCTTGCCAGACTCTGCCATGTGGGTGGAATACTCTCTGTAGCTTGCCGGGCTCTCTGAGAGGGACGGAGTAATCAAACCTGGGTCGCTGCATGCAAAGCAAAAGCCCTACCCACTGTGCTATTGCTCTAGCCCATATAATAATATAGGTATATAGGTATTAAGGATTAAATCTAGGGACTTATTCATATAAGCATATGTTCTATCACAAAGCAACTATACTCCACCTTTTTATTATTTTAGTTTTAATTTTGATTTTTGTGTCATATCTGGCTATACTCAAGGATTACTCCTGGCTCTGCAGTAAGGGAACACTTCTGGCAGGGCTCGGGGGGCTATATGGGATGTTGGGGATCAAATCCAAGTTAGCCGGGTGTAAGGCAAGCTCCCTACCCACTATACTATCTCAATGGCCCCCTTTTATGAATTTTTTAAAAATAACTTTAAGAGCATTTTTAGGCCCATAGAATTAAGAAAAAGATATAGATATATCCCATATCCCCCCGTCACCACCTTCTCCCCACATGGTCTTGACCATTATCACTACCAATATCAGAGTGGTGGTGTGTTTACTGTAATTTATAAAACTACATTTACACAAAGTTCAAAGTTTATCTTAGGTTCACTCTTGATGTATTTTTTACAAATAGGTTACATGTATTCATCTTCATACTATCATATAGAGTATTTTTAATGCTCTACAGCTAAAATTCTACTTTTCTAAGTTCTTAAACTGTAGGTCTTGGCCACATATTATTTTGTAATCATGGGATTACAAAAATTTTGGCAACAGTGAAAGCTTTCAGAATGCACAGTGACCAAAAGCTAATTCAAAGTCAACCATGTAATAAATCTAAAGTGTTTGTCTGTGTTGCATTTCTCAGTTATAAAGGGGTCCTGACAATAGTGTAGGGATTGGTGTTGAAAGAGTGTGCACCTGAAACTCAGTCACCAATATCTTTTTTCTTTTTTAGATTGAATAACAGTGAGATACATAGTTACAAAATTGGTAACTCATGATTGGTTTTTAGTCGGATAGTGTTCCAACACCAGTTCCTTCACCGGTGCATTTCCCACCACCGATGTCCCCAATTTCCCTCCCACACCCCACTTCTGTCCTGCCTCTATTACAGGCACCTCTCACTTCTCTCCCTCTCCCTCTCTCTCTTATCTCTCTTTTCTCTTTCTTCTATCTCTCTTCCCTCTTCTCTCTTTTCTCTATCCTCTCTCTATCCTCTCTCTCTCTCTCTCTCTCTCTCTCTCTCTCTCTCTCTCTCTCTCTCTCCCCCCCCTTCCCCCCCCATTGGGCAATAAATATCTATGTAATTCACAGTTATCCAATAAAAAATAAATTAAAAATGGGGTCCAGAGTAGAAAAGACAAGAATCTTTGCTTTTTGAGAAGTTGTGTTTTAGAGGTTCATCCTTCAAAACCCCATCTCCCCACACCACCCCGGAAAGCACTAATATTTTTACTTTCTTCATAATGTTGTCTCTTCCAGAATGTCATTCTACTGGGATCATGGTTTATAGCATAGCCTTTTCCAATAGGCTTCTTACATTTACTGATAAATATTTAAGGTTTCTAAATGTCTTTTCATGACTTGATAGTTCATTTCTTTTTAATGATATTCATTGTCTGGATGTACTGCAGTGTTTCTTTATCCATTCACCTTGTAAAGGACATCCAGGTTTTGGCAATTATGAATAAAGTTGCTAGCAACATCCATGTTTATGTTGTTGTGTGGTGAGAATATAAAGTTTCAACTCCTTTGGGCAGATATTAAGATAAAAGATAACAGTGTTACTGCTGAATTTCATGGTAAAGGTAAGTTTTATAAGAAACCACCACGCTAACTTTCAGAGTTATTGTATGATTCTGAATTCCCACCAGCAGTGCCCAAAAATTCTTGCTCTACATGATTTTGTTTTGTTTTGGGGGTCGTACCTGACAGTGTTCTGGGCCTACTCCTGAATCTGTGCTCAGGAATCACCTGTGGCAGTGTTCAGGGGACCATATGTGATGCCAGGGATCAAACCCAGGTATGCTGCATATAATGCAAATATCTTACTTGCTGGGCTCTCACTCTGGCCCTAGAGTCAAACTTTTTTTTTAAAATTAAAAAATTTTTTTTTATTAGTGAAACACCATGAGGTACAGTTGTAGATTTACAATTTTTTGTGCTTGGGTTTTGATTATACAATGATCAAACACCCATCCCTCCACCAGTGCCCATTTTTCACCACCATGGATAATATACCCCCCACCCCCATTCCCCCATCTCCCCCTGCCTCTGTGGCAGGGCAATCCCCTGTGTTCTCTCTCTCGTTTTGGGTGTTGTGGTCTGCAAAAGAGGAATTGAGTGGCAAACATGTTCAGTCCATGGTCTACTTTTGACATGCTTCTCCCCTCCTGGGAGGATCTAGAGTCAAACTTTTTATAAGACATTTTAGATTATGCTACAAACAGTATTTTGAAATACTTTCCAGTGAAAACACAATTTTTCTTGTAATTTTGTCTTTTGTTTTTGGTAAGATATTGCCGAACCATATAAGACTTGAGTACCTGGTGAGGACCAATTTGAACACAACATAGAAAACCCCAGGACGAGGTGTCTTCCACTGCACCAACTACTAGATCTTTAGTTGTCAGAGAAGTGCTGATATAGGTTTACTTTAGGTGAGAGCAACTTCTCTAGAGTGACTTATCTAAAGGGTAATTATTTTGATTTTTGGTCCTTCCCAGGCATACTGGGGGTCACTAGGTTTATAGCAGGGGTTCTTGGGAAACATGCAGTGCCAACAACTGAACCTAATGGCTTGTGCATGCCAGAAGTGTGCTCCAGCCCTTTGAAATTACCTAGCTTCTTAGGATGTTCTTAAGGGAGTTAGTCTCCCATACACCTAATTTCCCCAAGTAGAAAATTGATTTATATAGATGGTGAATATGAATTACAAAAGATAAAGGACTGGAGAGAGAGAGAGAGAGTACAGTGCACTTGCCTTGCACATCGCTGGCCCTGGTTTGATCCCTGGCACGTATTGTGGTCCCCTAAGTTCTACCAGGAGTGATCCCTGAGCACTGAACCAGGATAATCCCTGAACTCACCAACAGATGTGGTGAAAAGCCCCAAAATAAATAACGAAAATATAGGAATGGTTCTATATAGTGATGAGCTATAAAGGGTACATTTTTTGATTCTGATAATATCAAGGTTTTCAAATAGTAGTATTTGGTTCTATACTGGGAAAGATAAGAGTCTGAATATACAAATGACTAATAAATAGACCATGCTTAAAATTGAACTTTGATCTGCAACACCCACCCAGGAAACCAAGCCCATTTCTACAATAAATAATGCAAGAAACCATCCAGCTATGAGTCAAACTTATAGGTAGTTTATAGGGATTGCTATCTCTAGTGATAACCTATGATGCTGAATTTTCCTTACACTCAGCTTCCAGTGAACAGAGCTTCATTGAAAACTGATAGCGATTCCTGCTTAGGCTTGACGGGACTAAAGCAAACATGAACTCATGATGAGTCACACAAGATATACCGTTTCTGGTCAGCCTGCCTCTAGCTCCCCGTGTCAGTAGCATCCATTAGAGCACGTTATGAGGCCTCCTGTTTCCCTTTTTAGCTTTCTTATTTCTCTGCATGTCCTCAAGTCTCTGCCAAAATACAGCCTACAGTGACATATTCCTCACAATAATACAAGTCCCTGGCGATCAGTGGGGTGACAGATGTCGCAGCCAGGTCGGAGCGATAGCACAGGGGGTAGGGCGTTTGCCTTGCATGCAGCCAACATGGCCGACCCAAGTTCGATTCCTCCGCCCCTCTCGGAGAGCCCAGCAAGCTACCGAGAGTATCTTGCCCGCACGGCAGAGCCTGGCAAGCTCCCCGTGACGTATTCGATATGCCAGACACAGTAACAACCAAGTCTCCAATGGAGACTTCACTGGGCCCGCTGGAGCAAATCAACGATCAACGGGAGGGCCTTTACCTTACCTTACCTTACCTTAATACAAGTTCAGAATAAACAGCTCTTGCTTTTCTCATTTGCTTTTGAATATTCAAAAGAGAAGCCCTAGTCTTTCTGATTATTATAGTCAAATTCATTAAGCAATTTTAGCGGAGGTCTTTAGGTACCAGAAATAGGGTCAAAGAAATATGGTTTGTATGGTCCAGAGAGCAAAGGGATCAAGGCACCACATACCTTGCATGAGGCTGACCCCAGTTTGATCCCCAGCCCTGCATATGATTTCCCAAGCACTGTGAGAGTTGGCCCTAAACACGGTCAGGAAAAAGCCCTGAGCACTGGCGGTTGTGATCTCTCTCCCACCAAAAAACAAATGGGTTATAAAACCAAGTTTTCCAGGGGCTGGGGAGATGGCTCGAAGGACTGGAGTACAGGCTTGCTATGATCCCTGCCCATGGATCCCTGTGAATGCATGACCCTCTTGGGGGTCATTGGCCCGAGTACTACTGGGGAGGCCTTCCACAAAGCTTTCAAAAGATAAGGTCAGGTATGTTCTTCTACTTGTAATTTCCAAAATTACAGTTATTTCATGGAGACCAGAATGCAATCTTTTAAGATGAAATTTCAGTACATAAATTGAACTCTTCCACCTCCAGAAACTGTCATACTTTCCCCTGGATTATGCAAATATTGGTATATGTGTTCAGTAAAATATAAAAATGTGTGTTTTTTTTTGTAGACACTTTTTAATACTGGTGATATCAACAAAGATGGGAAGCTGAGTTTTGAAGAATTTGTGAAGTACCTCAAAGATCATGAGATAAAAATGAAATTGGCATTTAATACTTTGGACAAAAATAGTGATGGTATGTCTTTCTCTTATGTTTATCACCAGCTGTGTCAAAAAGTTCCAGGCTTGCTCTACGTGTGTGTGTTCTCCCTTGAATGCATATCTTCCTTGCTTGTTTATTTCTTGTTTGCCTTTTTCCACTCTAGAACATGTACTCCCTCCCCTCACATCTTTCTAAATACTTTTCAATAAGAACTTTCTTGCTTCCCAAAATAAAAAAAAGCATATTTAGCCTTTCATTGATAATTACTACTTGATAATGCTGATTTTCTTAGTAATATGATTTTTATTAATTTATTGACATTTGGTTTTAGAGCCACATCTGGCTGTGTTCAGGAGCAACTCCAGCCCATTGAACTATTTCTTTATCCCAGTAATGCGATTTTTAAAAATATTTTAAAAAATATTAAAAAAATTTAAGAAAATATATTTTTAAATATATGGATCCTGTGTTTTCAGTGGGAGAAAAAAAACCCTTACAGATCGCTTTGTGCACTAATTAAACACTGTGAGCAGGACTTTTTGTAAACTGTGAACAGTAGAAAGTAATGATTTGACTTACAGCCATAGGATAAAAATAATAAATGTGTCCTCTCTCTCTGAGCAGAGATTTATTTTTATTGACATGTTTAAATGTTCGAACTTTCAGATGTTTTATATATGCTAGTCCTTATGAAAGAATTAACTTAGAGGGGGCTGGAGAGAGTGTAGTGAATAGGGCACTTTCCTTGCACATGACCTACCTAGGTTTTATTCTAGGCACCCCCTCTGGTTTTCTGAACCCTGCTGGGGTGATTCCTGAGCACAGATCCAGGAGTAAGCTCTGAGCACAGTCAGGTGTGGATCCTCTCCTTCCTCCCACCAAAATCACATACCCCCAAACCCCCAAAATGATAGAATTAAGTTGAAGAAAATAACCTCTGATCTGAAATTTAGAAGGAAAAAACACAACTATGCATCACCTGCTAGGGATCATGGTTTCTCTTGTAGATGAGTAGCCTCAGGTAAAAAACCCAGTGTGGAGAGCAGTGAACAAGGGAAATAGTAGGTGAAAGAGAGGAGCTATACATTTTTATTATCTTTGCTACATAGGAGTCCTGGCAACCACTGTATTCCTGGACTTGTTGTTCGAGAAAAAGGTTAAACGAATTGATTGAGAGGAATTATGGTTCACATCAGGGGTTGGCAATGTTTTTTTTTTTTTTAAGAGTCAGATAAGAGTAGGGGATATCTCAAATCCCAGGGTCTTGCTTTGCATGAGGGAGACCAGGTTCAGTCTCCAGCACCCTGATTACTTCCGGGAGTGACTTGTAATCTATTCTCAGTCAGTAGCTCCCAAGCACTAATGGGTATGACTGTCCTGCCCCCTCCACACACCCCCACCCATGGAGTCACATAGAAAATATTTTAACTTTGTGGTCCTCATGTTCCCAGAGCAACTACACATCCCCAAGTAGTCATGGATAATATGTATATGATTTGGCATGATTGTGTTCTAATAATAAAACTTGACTTGCAAAAGCAGGCAAAAACTCTTACTTGGTTATAGGGTAATGGTTAAACTCTTACTTGGTTATAGGGTAATGGTTTTGATTTGTGGTTGATACTAAACATTAAATGACATGGAATCAGAGAAAGTTTTCTTCAGTCAATAGAACTATTGAATGGTTTTGGTGATTATTCAAGTTTACCTGTCAGGAATAACTGAGTTTTCCCTATAAAATTGCGCTACTGGAACGTTTGTAGCACAAAGATGTATGGGAGGCTCTTGCACTCTCTAATCTCCCATAAATCTTATGGTCATATGCTCCCAAGTCCAGCCAAAGTTCAGCTTTCATCAAAATGTAGTTCTTATAGTCAGTTTATGCAAACTCCCTCAGGCCCTGAGAGCCCTCTGCAGTATTAGGGCAGGCCTTAGTAACTGGGGGATGGAGCTGTTTCAGGATCACCTGCCAGGCAAGTTGAGATCAGTCATCCCAGCATACTTCAGTTGTAAGTTGTGTATACTTCAGTTATTTATTTCAGAAAAATCTCAATGAACCACAGCAATTGATTGAAGATGAAATTTTAATAATACATTTATTGTATGTTACCAATTTCCCCTTACTGGTATATATACAACTTCATATTTTTGATTTTGGGCCATACCTGACTGTGCTCAGGGCTTACTCCTGGTCCTGCACTCAGGAATCACTCCTGGCGGTACTCTGGGGGCCATATGAGGTTTTGGGGATCAAACCTGGGTCAGCCACATGCAAGGTAAATCTACTGTCTCTCCAGCAAGCAACCATATGCTAGACCTGACTGGATTCTGGGCTTGAAAATGTGCCTACTTGTTAACATTTAACCTTAGAAGAAGCCCCAACAATAGCTACTGTACTTTCTCAGTTATTTATGGATGTGGCAGAGGAGGAAAAAAAAGCCAACTTAATTGCCTGATTATTTTTAGCTGAGATAGAACAAGGTGTTGCTCAGCGTTCTTGTTTTTGGTCTTACACTGTTAACAAGTGTCTTTCTGCAGTCTGCTTATTGCCATATTTTCTGCATCGTGTGCTTTAGCCATTCTAAGTTTTGCTGTTACTTTTTTTTTTTGCTTTTTGGGTCACACCTAGTGATGCTCAGGGGTTACTCCTGGCTCTGCACTCAGGAGTTACTCCTGGCAGTGCTCAGGGGACCATATGGGATGCTGAGAATTGAACCCGGGTCAGTCGTGTGCAAGGCAAATGCCCTACCTGCTGTGCTGTCTCTCCAGCCCCTTGCTGTTACTTTAAAAATGGCTTCTGAGCATAGTCCTGAAGTGCTTGTTTGTCTTTCCTAAATACAAGGATTCTGTGTGCATTAGGAAGAAAATCATGTACTAGATAAGCTTCACTCAAACATAAGTTACTGTGCTGCTGGCCATTTGTTGAATGATAATGAATCAACAATATACATCAAATGGTCTCTGAATAGAGGCATGGAAGAAAACAAGGTTATGTATTGGCAGGTTGATAAAAATGTTGCTGTGACCGGAGGCTCAGAGGAGCCTAGCCTTGTCTTTCCCACAGGTTTAAGGTTCAGTACTAGCTAATTCAGTATTCACAGTCACCCTGGAGAACATAACTACTCTGAATAATGAGAAATGACTCCCATCTGTTTAAGAGTGAAAAGGAATGCCCCGCGGTATGATAAGTGTGTCTGAGAGTAGAAGCCAGAGCCACTATCTCCAGTGAATCTGAAATTGTAGACCTGGAACTGTGGGGAAGTATTGAACTCTCTTGTTACAGCCCTGCCGTCCCTTGCTGTGTGCATATATAATACTTTGTTCTTCATATGTGAAAATCTTGGAATTCTTTAGCATAAATAAATGTTTTATTTTATAAGAGTGAACTTATAATTGAGGATATTCAGAGTAGTATCTGAGAAATTTCATTGCCTATAGCAAAGATGCCTCTACCTGTCTTTATGTCATCTGTACTCTTACGTGAATTCTCTCCAAATACTTACTCATTTAAAAAGGATAAAATCATCTTGCCATGGACAGTTGTTTGTGTCAAACTCTTTTTGAAGAACTTTTCCATTATACTGACTTGACATAAACTTTTATTTCAGCTATTATTTTATTCTCTACTCATTTAATTAATTCATTCATAAATTAATTTTTGGTTTGGGATCACACCCAATAGTGCTCAGGGATTACTCTTGGCTCTGTGCTCAAGTATCACTTCTGGCTGGCTTAGGTGACCATATTTCTCTATGCCTTTCTGCCAACTTATTTAAAAGAAAAACAACATCATACAGAGACAGTACCCTTTTAAAAAATGACTACAGTAGCAGGGTTTACAATAGCGTTAATGTTTCAGCTTAGGTGTAACATTGACACCTGATGTTGCATTAGGTGTGCAGTGTTATAGCTACCCACAGCCCCACCTCACTGCTATGCCTCCCTCCCTCCTTGTCTACCTCCTCTCCCCCACTGTTAGATAATCTCAGTTTTATTGTCAGAGTCTAAGGGCTTGTTTCTTTTGGGTAGCATCTATTTTATGTCTTTGTTTCTCTTTACATGCAACATGAGTGAGATCTTTCCTTCTTTCATCCTGTTTAGTGCACATCGGTCTTTGGATTCTTATCACTCAATGAGTTGTTTAAGAAAGTGCAATGCTGGTCACATATGTTGCTTATGTTTTCTCTTTCTTCTCTTCTGATCTTTCCCATCTATTTATAAACATCTTATAATTTCAATTTCCTCTTCCATTGTTGTATGAGCTTTGCTCTCTTTATTTTTATTTTCAGATTTTTTTTTTTTTTGCTTTTTGGGTCACACCCAGCAATGCTCAGGGGTTACTCCTGGCTCATGCACTCAGGAATTACTCCTGGCGGTGCTCGGGGGACCATATGGGATGCTGGGAATCGAACCTGGGTCGGCCATGTTAGCTGCATGCAAGGCAAACGCCCTACCCGCTGTGCTATTGCTCCAGCCCCTATTTTCAGATTTTTAAAGAACAACATGTGCTTTGGTTTAATTTAGTTATTTTGGGCTTTCTTTTAACCCAGTGAAGTTTAGTCTAATGTGTAATAAGCATAAGTCACTATTTAAAATCACAGGAATGCATATCGTGAAATCGAAAAATGCCAGCATTATTGAATTTACCTCAAAATAGGGTGTTTTGATTAGAATATCAGTTATCAGTTGTGCTGCTTAATTTTTTTCTTGTTAAGTCCTTGTAAACTCTGTTTCTTTTGTTAAATAGAATACAATTATTTACCTGCAAGATATTATGATTTTTAAATGAAATAATATATATATCTGTTTTATGTGTTTCTTAAATTTTGAATTGGTGTGATGTTACATACTTATGTTGATGTGTGATTCACCTGAATTAGTTAATCTTTTGCTTATAAAACTATACATTTGAAATTCATGATTTGTAAGGTCTTTTGAAGTTCTAATTCTTTGCTTTTTTAAACTTTTAAAGGAAAAATTGATGCTTCAGAAATTGTCCAGTCTCTCAAAATACTAGGTCTAACTATTTCAGAAGAGCAAGCAAAGTTAATTCTTAAAAGGTAAGCTTTTCATATTATTGGTAGTTTTTTAAATTTTAATTTTATTATCATGCATTAAAGATTTATTTTTTAATGTAGTGTAAAACAACTACCTCCTCCCTGCAGATATTGAATGTCTTTCTTACCTTCTTTTTTTCTTTCAAAGTCAGATTTTTACAGATGTAGGGTTGATTTTACATGATAGTACAATAATCTTTAATATCTGAGTGCTCTTTAAGACTATTGCTACAAGCATGCCATAAAGACTATTTTAAAAATGCTAACAGAAACCATAAAAGTATAATATTCTTGTATTTCCGGTCTTCAACTTCATCTGAAAAATCATATAGGAAATCCCTTTGATTCTTGTCCTGGCAGTGCAGGACTTGACTGTTTGGTGCCTGCCTAAAAAATTTCTTTTTAGTAGCTTTCCTCTTGAATTTACTTACTCTTATATCTGCACCAATAGCATTTTATTTTTTCTGTTCATTATTTTTTTTAATAAGCATCTCCACGGTAGAAAGGCATAAAGACTGGAGCTGAACATGGTCTTACTTTTATTAATATTGGGTGATGAAGGTTTTTTTCCTGAAGAAATGAATAAAAAGGATATAGATAGTATGTTGACTGTGGGATGACATTCTTCTGGGAAAGTTAGGATTTTTCTCTGTTTTTTAGGGTAGATATCACATTCCTGCACTCCTTTAATAGCTTTAGGAATAATACAGATTCAAAGCCTAGGATTCGGAATTAACTGGTAATTTAGAGGGATGAATTTTAGAGGTATCTGTATAACTGTATATCTCTGACTAAATATGGTGGCTTTTTGGCATATAGTTCAGATACAATAAGATTTTCCTTTCTATTTCTTTTCTTTCTTTTTCCTCATTTTTTCCCCTCACACATGTAATGCATGTTCTCTACCACTGAACCATATCCCAGCCCAAATGCATGCTTTTAAAATGCACAATTCAGTGATTTCTAGCTTACTTACAGAGTTGTAGAGCCATAACCGTTGTATAATTTAGAAAAAATTTTATCAGCCCTAAAATGTATCTGCCGGCAGCCATTTCTTTCTCCTCTCCTGCAAACTCCCAGCTATCGCTGATTTCCTTTCTGTCCCTATGAATTTGTCTGTTTTGGAAAATTCATTAAAATAAAATTATGCAATATGAAGACTTTTGTGTCTGACTGTTTTGATTTAATGTCATAATTTCAAGGTTCATCCAAGCGTCTATCAGTTCATTTTATTTTAGACCAAGTCCTATTCTGTTTTACATATATATTTGTCATTCAACAAGAGGTGGATATTTGGATTGTTTTCACTTTGGGAATATCACATATAATGCTGATACATATATCAAAGTCTTTGTTTTAATAGGTTTTTTAATCTTGTGGTTTTAGTAATTTTATTAAATCTATGCCTTTATGAAGAATTGATATCAGTTTTGATCTGCTCTTTAAAAGCTATGGACATGATACACATTTTTATTGGGACTTCAAAAGTTTGTCAATAAAGCTTTATAATTTTCTTTATAGAAGTCTCATGATTTTTTAGCTTATTGTCACCCAAGCAACTTATATTTTTGTTCTATTTGATATATAATGTTCTTGTTGATTTTTCTATAGTAGCTTATAGAGACAGATAATACCAGTTTGTGTTTTTAATGCTTTGTAACTAAATACCTTATTACATTCATATTCTTAAATTTTACTATTAATCCTGTGTTTTTAAACATAGAAACCTTTAAAAATTCATAACATTTCTGAATATTCCCTGTGAAAATTGAAATAAAATTAGAAGTCAAACATAGACAGGGAGAGAATCATTGCAAAAGACCTATTTGATAAAGTACTGTTGTCTAAAATATACAAAGAGAGCTGGAAAGACTGCTAGGTGGGGTGAGTGCCTGCTTTGCATGTAGGAGGCCTGAGTTTAATTTGCAGTACACTGGGAATGACTCCCGAGCACAGAACCAGAAGCCCCCAAGCACTGCTGGGTTTACCCCAGAAACCACAAAATGTGTGCCAATAACATACACACAGAACTTTAAAAAATAATAAAAAACCCAAATAGATATTATCTATAAAGAAGATAAAATATTGTTCACCATCATGTGTCTTTATTGAAATGCAAATTCAAATGTCAGTGAGATACTACTACATATCTATCTGAATCGCCTGAACTCAGAAAACTGACACCACTCGCTGCTGGTGAGGATGTGGAGCAACAGGAATGCTCTTTGATTGTTGATGGAAATGCAATTTGGTGCAGCTACTTGGGAAAATAGTGTGGCATTTTCTTAGCATACGCTCTAGAAATCACTCCTTGGTGTTTTCCTAAGAGAGCTGAAAACTTAAGGCTGGATCGATAGCTCAAAGACTGAGCACATGCTCTGTGTGCAGGATATCTGAGTTTGGTTCCTGGCACTTCATGGTCCCTGAGTGCTGCTGGCAACAGCCTTGGACCTCTGAGCACTAACTAGCTTGGAGCAGCCCCAGAGTATATCTGGGTTGATTCTTCTGCAAAAAAGGAGCTGAAAACGTCTATCTGTGCAGAAACTTACATGTGGACAATTACAGGAACTTAAATCATAATTTCCAAGAAGCAACCAACATGTCCTTTTGTTGGTGAATGGATAAACTTTTAATTCTAGAAAATGGAATATTATTTGTACTGACAAAGCATGAGGAGACCCTGGAAAAGTGTGGAGGAAAGTTTAATACATTTCATTAAATGAAAGAAGCCCAAGTAAAAACACTATATACTATATAATTTCAACTATATAACACTCTGAAAAAAGTAAATCTATGAATGGGGTAAAAAAGATCAGTGGTTTACAGGTGTTAGAGAAGATGTATAATTGAGGCATTAGGAAATTGAATATATTAGTGATACTATAATAGTGGATACATGTTATTATACATTTGTCCAAACTCACAGAATGAATGTCATCAAGAGTGAAATCTAGGGGCCTGGAGTGATAGCACAGCAGGTAGGGCGTTTGCCTTGCATGCGGTCAACCTGGGTTCGATTCTTAGCATCCCATATGATCCCCTCAGCACTGCCAGGAGTAATTCCTGAGTACATGGGCCAGGAGTAACCCCTGTGCATTTCCAGGTATGACCCAAAAAGAAAAAAAAAAGAGTGAAACCTCGGGGCCAGGTAGATGGTATAAGTTTAGGGCTCATGGAAGCAAGTCCCAACTAGGGTATAATTCTAGGTATCACATGGCCTTCCTGCTCACCAGGTGAGGACCTGAGCTCCCCAGCCACTGCTATGGTCTTCTGGTGGTTTTCAGCCTTCAGATCCTGAAAACCAACGCATCTCAGGCCCTCAAATAGAACCATCAGCCTGTTTGACTGAGTATCACTAGAAATTGCCCTTGGGTCTCCTGAATAGTATTTGAATGTACTCATTTATCCTCCACCCCCCCTCCCCCACCCCAACCACAAAATATGTGTAAACTGTAACTCCCTAATGTAATGGGTTTTGGGTGATAATGATGTGTCAATGTTGGCTCACCTATAAGAAGGAAAAGAATCCATACTTCTGAGACGCAGAAGTTCAGTGAAATAGATGACTATGAAATGTTCTCTGCAGCCCATGTTTCCTTGGGGGGACTCTAGAATACTTCCTCAGAGACTTGGTTTTAGTCTCCTCCCACCAGCTGTGATCTCACCCTTCTTTGAAATTCTAGAACACGATGGATCTTTTTTTTTTTTTTTAAATCAACATCTGCACTGGGGATCTATTATGGGCAACAAATATCTCCAAAGCCTGAGCTCCTGATGTACCTTTTTGGGTCTTATACCAAAGGTATTTGTTGATTGATAGATGGAGCCTGGATATATATGATACCTTCCCTGAAATCAAAGTGATAGATGTATTCATCATCTTCAAAAGTTTCTTTGTGCTTTGTTGTTATAAAAACATTGGCATAAGATTTATCCTCTTCACAATTTTTTAAGTATGATATAGGATTAAATAATAACTATATGTACGGGATTGATTATCTACTGTACATGCAAGATGTACCACAGATCTCCACGACTTTTCATCTTAAACAGCTAAAACTGTATATCCATTGAACAACACCGTATTTCCCCTCCCGCCACCACCCACTTCCTGCCAGCTACTGTTCTGTTCTCTGCTTCTATGAACTTGACTCTTCGATACCTTGTGTAAGTGGAATCATGTGGCATTTGTCCTTGTTTATATCACTTAGCATGATATTCATCAGGTTCATCTGCATTGTCACATGTGAGGATAGGGTTTCCTTTTTAATTTTAAGGTTGGATAACGCCCATTTTAGTTCATTAATGTACTATATTTTCTGTATCCATCAATCCATGGACATTTGGATTGTTTTTGTGTCATAGATAACATGAATAATGCTATAATAAATAAGAGTTATAATCTTCTTTTTCACAGCCTCATCTTAAATTGCAAGGTATTCTACATTTATTTAACTAGATAACTACATACAGGAAATAAGATATTTTCAGTCTAATGCCATTACATATAATTCACCCATGAATGACCTTGTGTTTGTATGAAGATTATTTTTTTTCAAAGCTGAATTGCTGGATTAAACGGCGTGTGCCTTTGTAAGTTTAGTAAATATTGCATAATTGTCCTTCTTAGTAGTCACCTCTTGGGGCCAGAGTTATAATAAGCAGGTAGGGATCTTGTCTTGCATGCAGTTAACTTATGGTTTGCTCTCCAACATCCTGTATGGTTTCTCCAGCACCACCAGGAGGAATTTAAGAGTGCAGAGCCAGGAGTAAATCTTGAACACTGCTGGGTGTGGCCCCAACACAAAACAAACAAACACAAAACAAAAAATGTTGAGAGAAGTCACAACTCAAGAAACAAAGGACTTCTGTCTTCCTGAACACGCATCGCCTCTTCCTATGTGCTCTACTTTGTAGAGCTCTTTTGACTAATCTTATTGCTCTCTCTTTATGGTATTTAGAATTAACTCCCCCCCGAAAAAAAACCTTTTCACATAGGAAATGTTATTGGAGTTGCATTAAAGCTATAGAATTAATGTAGGAAAATAATAATGTTGCTATAAATTTCCATCCATGATCCATGTATTTTGAGAAGTAATATTTTCTCTTTTTTTTTTTAGCTAAAATCATTTAAAATTTTTCTTTGTAGTTCTTTTTTGATCCATGTGTTATTTAGAAATAAGTTTTTTGGGGGCTGGAGCGATAGCACAGCGGTAGGGCGTTTGCCTTGCATGCAGCCAACATGGCCGACCTGAGTTCGATTCCTCCGCCCCTCTCGGAGAGCCCGGCAAGCTACTGAGAGTATCTCGCCGCACGGCAGAGCTTGGCAAGCTCCCTGTGACGTATTCGATATGATATACCAAACACAGTAACAACAAAGTCTCCAATGGAGACGTTACTGGGCCCGCTCGAGCAAATCGATGATCAACGGGAAGGCTTTACTAATCTCAGCATATTTGGGGATGTTCCAGATATGCTTTTGATTTTAATTTTCACTTGAATTCTATCAAGGTCGGAGAGTAGACTATGTGATTTCTGTTCTTTGAAATTTGTCAAGTCACATTTTATAATGCAGATTGTGTTCTATAATGGTGTATATTCTATCTAAGTTTCTGAAGAATGTGTATTCTACTAACTCTGGATAAAGACTATGTATGTTAGTTATATCCTGTTAATGGATGATGCTGTTGAATTCAAATATATGCTTACTGATTTTCTGCATGAAAAAAAAAATGAGAGGGTGGATAATCTCTTTGAGATCCTGATTTTAATTCTTTTGACTATGTACCTAAAATGAAATTGCTGTCCAAATGTATTTTTAATAACCAGTTCATTGACATATAATTCACATGCAATGAATCACCCCTTGAAACAAAAATTTTTTAAAAAGGGATTAGTTGAATGAAAAGAGGATAAGCCAGTAATTATCCAGAATAATTACCTTGCTGTGGTTGGCAGTGCACAAGTTGACAAAGACCAGCAATACCCTCTGACCAGCTCATCATCACATTCACACCTTATTCCAGTGCACTGGGCTACTTTGGTCTTGTCCAGCAGCTGGTCTTGTCCAGCCACTCCTCTCTTTCTAGCACAATGACATTGGGCAGGAATAGACCAGTAGAGTAGAGGTGGTACTCAACAGTAGCCAAAGCAGCACTAGTTATGCCCACAATGAATCCTGCCTTACCAGCTAGCCCACCCACCATGTGCCACCATGAGCTCTGTAGCACTGTCCTACCGTTGTTCATCGATTTGCTCCAGCGGGCACCAGTAACATCTCACAACAAATTGTGAGACTTGTTACTGTTTTTGGCATATTGAATACGTCACGGATAGCTTGCAGGCTGTGCTGTGCAGGCGAGATACTTTCTCGGCAGCTTGCCGGGCTCTCTGAGAGGGGTGGAAGAATCCAACGCGGGTTTGCCGCATGTAAGGCAAATGCCCTATCTGCTGTGCTGTCATTCCAGCCCACCATGCGATCATCTGTGTGAAATGAATGATACCAGAAGACTGAGCTGGAATTACATGTACTGAAATGAAAGAAGCCTGAGATACTATTTGGAGTAACTTTCAATTTTTAATTAAAAAAAATTTTTTTTTGAGTTGCACTTGTTGATGCTCTTCACTCAGGAATTACTCCTGTCAGTATTTGGGGTGCCAGGGATTGAACCTGGGTTGGCAAGTCAAATTCCTCAACTGCTGTACTATCACTCTGGCTGCTAGTTTGAGTTTGTGGCACTGATGTTATCCTCTCTTCTTTGAGAACTCAGATCTGTGACTTAAGCAAGTCTTTGCAGTCAGTGTGTTTTATTAGGTCAGTGACCTTCACAAAGAAAAGGGGAGTAATAGTTAGAGTGCTTTTTCTGTTGTCTTCTCACTGAAATCTTGCCATTTTGGTGGTCTATGTGTGGGTTTAACCTGGATCAATGTGTGTATTACAACACTGTTTCTGCCCTCCCATCGCCAGGGTCCCTGGATGAACAGTTGCCTTCTATTCATTGCCTTGGATCTCTACTCTTCACCCACCTCAGTCTATTGAAATATGAATCTCTTCTCTGTCTGCTTTGTGTGCTTTGACTCTGTGTGGTACAGGGCATGCCTCAGCCTCACCCCAAGCTGTAGAACTCTCAGACTACTCCTCGTGGTTAATTAATTGCTTTCATTGGGAGTAAGGCAAGGAAACTCCTCCGTAAACTTTTTGGTCACCCCTTTAGATTAATTTGCCCAAGTGGGTTGCAAAACTTGGGAAAAAAGGGAAACACGAACATCCCCAATAAAAATGGGAAAAAGCTGAACAGACTCTTCATCAAAGAAGACATACAGATGGCCAATAGACATATGTAAAAATGTTCACTATTACTGATCCTCAGGGAAATACAAATCAGTGTGACAATGAGAGATTACCATATGCTGTTGAGTATGGTATATATCAAAAACACTAGAAACAACCAGTGCTGGTGCGATGTGGTGAAAAAGGAACTATGAGCTCTTATTTGGATTGTAATCTGGCTCAGCTTCAATGGAAAACAGTGAATTCTCTAAAAATTAAGTATAAGCTTTCATATGAGCCAGCAATTCATTATCTTCTTGGAATCTATCCTAAGAGAATAAAAACATAGTTCAAAAAGGTATTTGCATTCATATGTTTATTATAGTACTATTTACAATAGTCAAGTTCTAGAAATAGCCCAAGTACCCAAGAACAGATAAGTGAATATGTGGATAGTGGCATGTATACACAGTGGAATAGTTTTCAGGTATAGGAAAATTAATTTCTCAGTTTATTGCAACTTGGATAGAACTGGAAGATAAAGGGATAAAAATGAATATAGAATGCTGTAAAACAATGTAAAAGCATGAACAATGGCTAATGGTAACAGATCTTGAGAGTCTGCCCATATAACTGAATTTGCTAATTGGAGAGAGGACCTAGAATCAGTGGTGGAAGGAGCTGGAACTCTTGTGGTGGGTAAGGTGTGTGTGGGAATTGTCCTAAAATATTAATACTATTGGAAATCACGGTGCTTAATTAAAAGAGATTTTTTTGTTGGTGGTGGGGGGTTCGATATGTACATATGTACACCCAGTAGTGTTCAGGGTTTACTTCTGGTTCTGTGCTCAGGAATCACTTCTGGCAGGCTTGGGGAACCATATTGTGTGCTTGGGGATTGAATCTGGGTCAGTCGCATGCAAGTCAAGCACCCTAACCACTGTACTATCTCTTAGCTCCAAAAGAGCTTTTATAAAGTTAATGTTTTGTGACTTCACAAAATCTGGAATTTATTTGTTCATTAAATAAATGTTTATACCACATGGCAAAGCCTAGCAAGCTACCCGTGATGTTAGATATGCCAAAAAAAAAAAAAAAGCCCAGTAACAACAAGTCTCACAATGGAGACGTTACTGAGCCCGCTTGAGCAAATCGATGAACAACGGGAGGACAGTGCTACTATGCTAGTTATTGTTTTAGAAAATCAAATCCTTATAGAAGATCCTCAGGCATGCATGTAAGGGAAGCTGGGGTGGGATTAGACAATGAATACATGTATTAAAATAGAAAATACAGTTAAAAGTAGCTATGAATATAACCACATACTATTTTAAACATAAGTATCGAGAATCTCATGCAAATATGATATTATTTATATCATATTATATACTGGATCAAATGAAAAATTTAGGTGTAATTTCATATATGAAGATCAAAATTTAAAGTGGCACTAAAAACAATGATATGTGAGAAATTAATTTTGTTGTACTGCAAGCTTTATACATTTTTTTCACACAAAGTTTGGAACACAAACTTTGTTAAAATTTGTTAGTGACACCAAAACGTATTTTTAGAGAAACTCTATTTATGATTCAACAGATAAGTGAATTCTTTAATTGTGCCAGCCACGTTAGGTGCTGGGTAAGCAGAAGTGAGCAAAATAGCTAAAATTCTTGGCACAGTTGGAAGTTTCTTTAAGGAAAGGATAGTACCCATGTTACTATTGCAAAGAAGTTTATAAAACAGAAATGTTAATGAAAAATATCTATGATGCAATATGTTTATTTTACATGTTGAAGATGAGGTATCAGGATTTGAGAGCCAAAAAGCCAATCACGTATTATTTATTTGCTTTTTACAGTCACTGCTGATTTTGTTGGAGAAAGTTGGACAAAGACATTGATAACATCTTTTGATTATTTTCAAAAATCACATTTAAATGTTGCTACACATTAAGAATATATTCCTGAGCCAGTGTAAGAAATAGTGGATCATAAATACATTTATAAATTTGACTTGTTATTTTTATCCTTTATGTGTGATAGTTCATTATTTAGTGTATGTCTGAGTCTCAGTGTACGTCTTAGTGAGCACTAAGTGAGTGAGTTTTGGGGTTCATTTTTATTTAAATGATGAAAACTATTAGACTATCAACTATGTGCTGCCATTTCCAACAGCGTGTTATTGTGAATTTAATTGAATATATTCTTTCATTTGTTTGGGGGCCGCCATGGTAGTGCTTGGGTGCTCCTCCTGGCTAGTTGCTTGATGTTATTTCCATCAGTGCTCAGTGACCATGCAGTGCCTGGGATTGAATCCACAGCTTCCACCTCTAAATGCAGTCCAACCCTTTGAAATATCTCCGAGATCATCATTATTTTGAATTTAATACAAATACTAAGTTGGGAAAAGAAATGTCATCTTGCAAAGTGGCCGGCGATAATAGTTTTGCTTATAAATTTGACTTCGTTCTTTATTCAGCTCCTTTTTGTTTTCAGCATTGATTCTGATGGGACAATGTCAATAGACTGGGATGAATGGATGGATTACTTCTTATTTAACCCTGTTTCAGACATAGAGGGAATCGTACATTTTTGGAAACATTCTACAGTAAGTATGACTTGTGTACTAATTTATACTTATTTGGAGATGTGATCCTTAGGTATATTATCACTTGTGAAAAAGCTCTGTAACATTACAGTTAAGATGCCAAAATTCCAGTGGACCCTTAATTTCTGCTTATTCTATTGAATATATTTTTAGATTTTCTAAAGTAACATCAAGACTAGAAACAGTGTAGTTATGGCACTTATTTTTGCCATTCTCAAAAGTTGGAAGCTGTACTGCCTTCCAAAAGTGAAATTAGGGTGAGTTAGTCACCTTTGGTTCACACTTTTTTTTCTACCATAGGTAAGTCTTAGTTTTACTTTTTATAGATATTATATTTCATAAATAATCTCAATATCTTTTTTGGGAGGAACCTATTAAGCAATGCTCAGGAGGCCTGAGGGCCCACTTCCTGTTGGGTCTGTCACTCAATATATGGAACCCTGTCCTACGAGAATTATCCTGGACACTGTGACAGTCAGAGGTTCCAGGGCTACACCTGGTGATGCTTAGGAACCATGTGATGCCAGGGATTGGTCCTGAGTTGGTTGCAGAACCTAATTTTTCTACCACTTCCTTGCCCCTAATCATAGTACTTTACGGTTTCTAAAAATGTCTTTTTGACTTTATGAGAACAGGCAAATAGTTGTTCTGGAACTTTAGGCTATACTTGTATTTGTCTCTCAGAAGGCACTTGATAATAATTTTTATTGAAGGCTAGGGCTGGAGCGATAGCACAGCGAGTAGGGCGTTCGCCTTACAAGCGGCCAACATGGCCGACCCGAGTTCGATTCCTCCGCCCCTCTCGGAGAGCCCGGCAAGCTACCGAGAGTATTCGATATGCCAGACACAGTAACAACAAAGTCTCCAGTGGAGACGTTACTGGGCCCGCTCGAGCAAATCGACGATCAACGGGAAGGCCTTTACCTTTTACCTTATTTTATTTTTTAAAATTTTATTAGACACCATGAGGTACAGTTGTAGACTTACAAATTTTTGTGCTTGGGTTTTAATTATACAATGATCAAATACCCATCCCTCCACCAGTGCCCATTTCCCACCACCACGGATCCCAGTATCCCTCCCACCCCTAAATTTTTTTTTTAATCATAGCATTTCACACCTGTATTTACTTAAAACTCAAAAAAATTTAATTACATTGTATGAAATATACTAGTGTAAATCGAGTTCAGTTTGTTGTGCATTCTGCTGCTGAAATCACAGAATTTAAAATTTTTCTTAATGGGCTTGTTCTCTGTATTTATTCATGAATTTCAGTGAACTCTCTGTGCATTAAAGGAAGCCTAAAGTTCACATTGCCACTGTTAGTAATACTAAAATCACGCAGAGCAAATAAGGTTATTGGTGAGTTATGTTTGCACTATGAGTATAAAGTAATACTATATTAGTCCAGTGACTTGGATCAATATTATTCTTATAAATTGTATTTACACTATCAAATGCTTATTGTATCTTTCATAATGGTTGTTAACAATTGAGACTATCTATATTCGTGTATCCTTTTTATTTACAGTGAAATGAGAGTGTTGCTGTAGAATAGCTTCCAACTCTTACATCTTTATCTCTGAATCTCTTTATGCCAGACTCATCTAAATAATAAAGTTTTAAAATGTCATTTATTGAGTTGTATTTCTCTAAGCTGTGCTTCTAATCCTGGGAATTTTTTACAATAGATTTGAGGGCAGGTAAATTTATTAATTTTTTAAATTATCAAAAATTTAAATTTAATCACTGTGAATTACAGAGTTATTCATGGTTGAGTTTCAGGTACAAACTATTCCAACACCAATCCCTTCACCAGTATCCACTTAAGGACAGATCATTTTATTCTTTTTAAGTTTTTTTTTTGTGATGGTTTTATTTTATTTATTTATTTTCCTTAAATTTTTATTAGTGAAACACCATGAGGTACAGTTGTAGACTTACAAATTTTTGTGCTTGGCTTTCAGTTATACAACGATCGAGTACCCATCCCTCTACCAGTGCCCATTCTCCACCACCACTGATCCCAGTATCCCTCCTATCCCCATTCCCACATCCCACCCTACCTCTGTGGCAGGGCATTCCCTTTTGTTATCTCTCTCCTTTTGAGTGCTGTGGTTTGCAAAAGAGACATTGAGTAGAAATCATGTTCGGTCTATAGTCTACTCTCATCACACATCTCCCATTGTGAGAGGAACTCCCAACACCCTTTATTTGGTGCTCCCTTCTCTATCTGAACTGCCTTCTCCCCTAGCGTGTGCGGCTGGCCTCAAAGCCATGGAGTAATCCTCCTGGTACTTATCTCTGCTAATCTTGGGTGTTAGTCTCCTATTTTGTTACTTTATGTTCCCCAGATGAATGCAATCTTTCTATGTCTGAAGGACAGATCATTTTAAGCAGTTTGTCTCTGTTATAGTTCAGTTTGATTTAGAATTGCATATTTTCAATATAAGAAAAGTTTTTATAGGCAGTTTGGGAAGATGTCTCTAGTGGTAGAGCACATGCTGAGTATTCTCAAGATACAGAGTTTGATCTTCAGTACCACTGGGTGTGGACTTGGTGGTCTGGAGCATTGTATCACAGGACTGAGCACCAGCCTCTCCCCTCCCCACCTGCCCCAGCTGTACTGTAGGTTGGTGGTGGTGCCAGCAGCTACTGGAGTATAAAACAAAATACCCTCAAATATATCAGTCTGGAACAAAGGTTGTCAAACTTATTTGTCTGACCTCACCCCTTTTCAGAAAAAAAATTTGCTAGGTGCCAATGGGAATCTACCTTCTTTAAGGAAACAAACAGGAAATGCTAACAGTTGCATCCAGTGCCGCTGCCTCCTCCTTTGATTGCCCTGCCCAGTCATATAGGCCACTTTGGGAAAGGAAGATCTAGAAAATAAGTTTAGAGGTATTCATATATGCCTCTAGGTTAATTTTTATTTACCTATTTAAGTCATATATCATAGCTAAAATATGTGAATGCTATTTTGACATAAATGGTATGTTAAGTCATTCAGATTTTTGTAGCTAAACATATTCACTACTTATGATAAACTGCTGTCTTTTCAATGTGACTTAGCCCAGAAGAAGAAAAATAGAAGAATTGATTTACCAAAATGTTGTCATTTTTGGTTTGGTAAATTTATAGTCACTGTTAATTTTCATTGCTTGTGACCTATATTCTACTTTGTTTAGTGTGAATAGACCACTTATAATCATCTTTATGCTCAAATTGGTTCACTATACTTTCAATGGAAAGAAGTGATCATAAACTGTAAGATAACACAATTCTTCTTTGAAACAAACATACCCTTATACAGATTAAATGCAGTCCTTATAAGGATACTCATGACATTTTTCAAAGAAATAGACGAAACACTCCTGAAATTCATATGGAACAATAAATCCCCGTGAGTAGCTAAAGCGATCCTTGGGAAAAAGAAGATGGGTGGCATCATCTTCCCCAACTTCAAACTGTACTACAAAGCGTTAGTAATTAAAAGAGCATGGTATTGGAATAGAAACAGTTCTGCAGACCAATAGAACAGAGTTGAATATTCTGACACAGCCTCTCAATCAAGTTATCACTTAATCTTTGGTAAAGGAGCAAGAAATGTGAAGTGGAAAAAGGAAAGCCTCTTCCTTCCTAACAAGTGGTCCTGGGAAAATTGGACAGCTACATACAAAAAAATGAACTCAGACCTCTGTCTAATGCCAGGCACAAAAGTCAGATCAAAATGGATTAAAGACCTCAATATCAGACCTGAATCCGTAAGGTACATGGAGGGAAATGTAGGCAGAACCCTCCATGACATTTATGTCAAAGGCATCTTCAAGGATAAATCATCACTGACCAAGCAAGTGGAAACAAACATAAACAAATGGGACTACATTAAACTAAGTAGCTTCTGCACCTCAAAAGAAACAGTGATCAAAATACAGAGAGAGCCCAATGAATGGGAAAAATTATTTACCCAATATCCATCAGATAGGGGCTTAATATCTAGGATATACAAGGCACTGGTAGAACTTTACAAGAAAAAACCCTCCAATCCCATAAAAAACGGAGAGAAAAAATCAACAGAAACTTACTCAAAAAAAAAATTTAAATAGTCAAAAGGCACATGAAAAAATGCTCTACATCGCTAATCATCAGGGAGATGCAAATCAAAACAACCATAAGGTATCATCTTACACCACAGAAACTGGTACACATCAAAAAGAACAAGAGCAACCAGTGCTGGTGTGAATGTGGGGAGAAAGGGACTCTCATTCATTGTTGGTGGGAATGCCTACTGGTTCACCTTTTTGGAAAACAATATGGACATACTTCCAAAAACTATGACCCAGCAATACCACTTCTGGGAATATATCACTGAGATGCAAAAAAAAAAAAATTAAAACCCACACAGTAAAAATTACATCTGCACTTGTATATTTATTGTAGCACTGTTCACAATAACCAGATTTTGGAAAAAGCCCGAGTGCCCAAGAACAGATGACTGGTTAAAGAAACTTTGGTACATCTACACAATGGAATATGATACAGCCGTTAGAAAAGATGAAACCATGAAATTTGCATGTAGGTGGATGGACATGGAGACTATCATGTTAAATGAAATGCGTCAGAAAGAGAGGGACAGACATAGAATGACTACACTCATTTGTGGAATATAAAGTAACATAATATGAGGCTAACACCTAATGACAGTAAAGACAAGGTCCAGGAAGATCGCTCCATGGTTTAGAGGCTGGCCTCATGTTCTGCGGGAAAAAGCAGTTGGGATGGAGAAGGGACCACCAAGTAAATGATGGTTGGAGGGATCTCTCAGAATGGGAGATAAGTGCTGAAAGTTGACTCAGAACAAAACATGATGCCCTCTTAGTATTTGCATTGCAAACCATAACACCCAAAATTAGAGAGTAAAAAGGAATATACCTGCCACAGAGACAGGGGGTGGAATGGCATAGGGTAGGCGGGAGGGATACTAGGAACATTGGTGGTGGAAAATGCACTGGTGGAGGAATGGTGCACGATCATTGTATGACTGAAGCATAATCATGAAAGTTTGTAACTGTATCTCATGGTAATTCACTTGATCACTTGATCACTTGATCCTCCATTATTCATTGATTTACTCGAGCAGGTGCCAGTAATGTCTCCATTCATCCCTGTTGTGTGCTAGCGTAGCCCAATGGCATCTGTTCATTCTAGGAACATGCAGAGCCTCAAACCGATCATTCAGGGTCTTGACGAAGAAGTCTGACCATCTTGTAGGTGGGCGTCCACGCGATCTTTTGACATCCCGTGGAATCCAGTCAGTAATGGCTGTAGTCCAGCAGTTGTCTATAAACCTCAGTACGTGTCCAGCCCATCTGATTTTTGATGCCTTGGCAAATGAGACAGCGTCCCTGATTCTTGAGCGTTGACGAAGATCAGAACTCCGGATTCTATCTCTCATTTGAGTGAATCATGATATTCCAAGCATAGCTCTTTCGATTCCTCTTTGAGAGACCCGAATAGCGTTCTCATCCTGTTTGTGTAGGGCCCAGGTCTCTGAGGCATATGTTAATGCAGGAAGAACAGTGGAATCAAAGAGATGTGCTCATAGCTGGAGGTTCTTTGTCCTCTTAGTTATTTCTTCAACGCTCTTGAAGGCGTTCCAAGCCGCTCTCTTCCTCCTGTGTAACTCAGGTGCCAGGTCATTCATCATGTTGATTTCTCGACCTAGGTATATATAACTGTGGCATTCGGAGATGGTGGTTCCGTTGAGAGCAAATGGAGCGTCAGGAACGAGGCTGTTTCTCATAAGCATTGTCTTCGTAAGATTCAGCTGTAGTCCGACCTTTCCAAAATCATGGTCAAAGTTGGTCAGCATTTGTGCCGCTTGGCTGATGTTTGTGTTATTAGAACGATGTCATCAGCAAAGCGTAGGTGGTGTAGTTGCCGACCATCTATCTTCACTCCCATTCCTTCCCATTCCAGTCATTGCATGATGTTCTCGAGGGTGTCACTGAAGAGTTTTGGTGAAATGGTATCACCCTGCTGAACCCCTCTCTTGACATGGATGGTTACTTCTTTGTAGAATGCTGAGATCCTGGTAGATCCTCCGTAATAGAGCTCACGGAGGATCCTGATGTATTGAGTTTGTATGCCCTGATTGGCTGGGGCTTCTATGACCGCTTCTGTCTCAACAGAATCAAAGGCCTTCTTTAAATCAATGAACGTTAGACAGAGTGGCATCTTGAATTCCTGAGAAACCTCAATGAGCTTAGTAATTGTGTGGATATGGTCGATGGTACTGAATCCTTTTCGGAATCCTGCTTGTTCACATGGTTGTCCTTCATCTAGTGTTCTGCTAATCCTATTTAGGATGACTCTAGTGAACAGTTTGTAGATGACAGACAATAGGCAGATTGGGCGATAGTTGCCAATGTCGTGAATGTCTCCCTTCTTGTATAGTAGTACAGTCCTGCTGGTTTTCCATTGGGATAGAACCTTGCATTCAGACAGGTAGCATGTGAAGAGCCGAGCCAGTGTATTGATGAGTACTGATGGTAAGTTCTTCAGGTGTTCAGGTCTGATCTTGTCTGGGCCAGGTGCTCTTTGTTTCTTTACCAATGAGATGGCAAGTTGAATTTCGGAAGGGAGAACATTGGGAATGATATATCCATCGTGTGGAATGTGGTATGTGGCCAAGTGGACGTGGCTATTAAAGAGATCTGAGTAGAAGTCATGAATAATCTTCTCCATTGCCCTTCTGGAAGATGTGATAGATCCATCAGGATGCTGGAGGGCAGTCATCTTGCTCTTGTAGTTGGTGAAGGACAGGCGGGCATTACGAATGCTTTTCCCGGCTTCTGCCACATGTATGGTAATTCAATAATTTAAAAAAGAAACACTAAAAGGCATTCACAGGAAGAATACCTGCCCCTCCTGCTGAAGCTGTGTAAGTCAATGAGAAATATATTTTTCCTCTTTAAAACAAAGAAACATACCTTCTGGAATGATCTATTTTGCTGTTGTTGTTTTGGGCAGTAACACCAATACTGCTGGCTTTGTGCTCAGGGATAACTTCTGGGTGGGGGGTTGGGGAGTACCATATGGAATGCTGGGGATAAAACCCAGGTTGGTTATGTGTGCGGCAAGTGCTCTACCCATTGTACTGTTTCTCTGGCTTCTGGAATAATCTAATTTTTCATTGAAAAATCATGGCTATTTCTTTCCCTCTCTCTCCCTGGTGTTTAACAGGGTATTGACATCGGAGAAAGTTATGCTATTCCAGATGAATTCACTGAAGATGAAAAGAAGTCAGGACAATGGTGGAGGCAGCTTCTGGCAGGAGGTGTGGCTGGCGCTGTTTCTAGAACATCCACTGCCCCTTTGGATCGGCTCAAAGTCATGATGCAGGTGAGCATGATGATCTTGTACCTGTGTCCTAAATACTAAAAACAATGAAAAATATGTGGTATTTTGAAAAAAGAACTCTGAAAAGAGCTTTTTATATCTTTAAAAAAACGAATCTGTCTTATTTCTTTAATCCTAAATTCAGCCCATGTAAGTATTTCAGTGTTCTATCAAACCTTAAGTTGTGCTACGTGTGTGTGTGTGTGTGTGTGTGTGTGTGTGTGTGATAAGCTTGTGATCTTTGGTATTCTGTGACTATTCAAATCTTTAATTAGAGATCTCTAGCCATTATAAGTGTTCTCCTTAATTTTAAAAGATTTCTATTTTTTTTTTTACCATACCTGAGATACTCAGGGGTTACTTCTGGCTCTGCACTTAGAAATTACTCCTGGTGGTACTTGGGGGAATGTATGGAATACTAGGGATGGAACTGTGGTCTGCTGTCTGCAAGGCAAACTTAAATGTTCTACCTGCTGTACTATCACTCCAGCCCCAATTTACTGTCTTATTTTAAACTAGCAACCATTCAGGCAGGAGCAGTGACTTCACCCTGAGGCCTGGCCCAGGAGGGTGGCAGAATGGAAAGGCCCCACCTCCGAGGCACACTCCTGCCAGAAGTCATGGGTGTGAGGTAGGGACTCTGGTTCTGCAGCAGAGAACTGAGAGCATCTAAGTGTCCTCTGGACTTTTCCCTTTGTCCTGCATCAGCCAGGTTTCTAGAAGTTGAAAATCAATGTGGGCAGGACCCCAGGGCTCAAATGTGTCCCCAGCTTCCTTCTGCAACTCCATGGGACAACCCAGGGAGAAGGGGCCACCTCTTCTGGGCCTTTAGTCTCATGTGATGTTCTCTAGGAGCCTGTGTGTTGTTTAAGATCACACAATCTACTGTTCCAAATAAATCCTGAATTCTCCATGGCTGACCTCCAATGGTTTTGTTGTGTGTGTTCTCTATTTATTTATCTATTTAATTTTGCTTTTTGGGTCACATCTAGTGATGCTAAGGGGTTACTCCTGGTTCTGTGCTCAGAAATTACTCCTGGCAGTGCTTAGTGCTTAGGGGACCATATGAGATGCCGGGGATTGAACCTGGGTCAGCCACGTGCAAGGCAAATGACCTTCCTGCTGTACTATTGCTCCAGCCCCCGTGTGTGTTTTCTGAAATAGCCTAGGTGAAGAAAAAGTGGGTGGAGAAACTACGATTGCTCCAAGAACTCATTCAGAAACATGGAGACCATCACCAGGGACTTTTCCACATTGCGTTGGCCAGCTCTTAGTTACGTGGTCACAGGGTGCTGTGGGCGAGGCTGGGAAATGGAGTCCACCTATGTATTCTGCAGGAGGGAGCCCCTCGTTCTCTAGTGTCTTGCTTGGAGCTGTCAGGCCAGGCTCAGGGGCCCGACCACCTTAGGGAGTTGGACAGCAGCCCTGAGCAGGCCAGGGTGTCGGGCTCAGAGTTAGGAGTGAAGCTGTTTCTTGGGTCTCATCCCTGTCCCATCAGTGAGAGACACTAGTGAGTGAGTTCAGCTGCAGCAGCAAGAGTTGGGTGCTGACAGCATAGCCTCTATTTTACTTTATTTTACTTCCTCTGCCTTCCTGTCGGCTGCACGACATCTTATCATCTCATTCCTACTTTGGGCAAACTGGGGCTACCGAATGGAACCTGCCCACATGGCAGAGTCTGGCAAACTCCCCATGGTGTACCCAATAAGCCAAATACCAGTAACAATGAAGGGTCTCATTCTCCTAACTCTGAAAGAGCCTTGAATATGGAACTTTTAAAAAAAAATCTCAGGGCTAGGACGAAGGAGACATTACTGGGGCCTGCTCGAGGCAATCGACGATTAACAGGATGGTTGTGATTGTGATTGATTGTGAACCATTCAGGATGTACTTAAGTTTCAAAATATATACTTAGGGCTAAAGGTTGCTCTTTAAAGAGAAAGGTGAAGAAATGAGGTGTGTATGAATGTGTGTTCTTGTTTCTTTAGGAATATGGTAAATTGACTTTGAGAGATCTTGAATTAAACTCTTTTTGGTTAATTTTATTGTCATGTTTATTAAAAATAAAATGAATGTCTCTGAACTATATCATATCCAAGACTGGGGGAGGGCTTCCCCAAACTGTCTTGATATTTATTTATCTATTTGAAGGACTTAAGGGAATTCATTGGACACTTTTATACTCATGAATGTGGTTTGTTACAGAGAAAGAATACAAATTAAAATCAGTTAAGAAAAGAAGTACATAAATAGAAGTACAATTGTGGGAAGATTCCAAATGCTATTGTCCTTTCCCAAAGAGTCACATGTGTTAATATGCCAATGTGTAAAGAGTGTTTCATGCTAACAAAGGAAGCTCTCCTGGGTCTTTGGTGTCCAGGATTTTAAAAAATTTTTGTTTATCTGCTTATATTTTTGCTTGTTTCTTTCTTATTCTTAATTATCTCCTGCCATCCTGGCTAAGCTTTTGTTTCCAGGGCTCCAGGCACCAATTTTTTTTTTTAAATATTTTGTCACTTGGGGCCAGAGAGATAGTACAATGGGTAGAGCACCTGCAAAGAAATCCCAGACTCCTGGCACCCACTCTGGTCCCTGAAACCTCAGAAATAATCCCTGAGTGCAGAGCTAGGTGTAAGCCCTGGTCACAGCTGAATGTGGCCCCCAAACCCAACATAAATACATGAATAAAATACATTAATAGTTGTTACTCATTTTTTTTGGGGCTTTTTGGGTACACCCAGTGATGCACGGGGATTAGTCCTGGCTCATGCACTCAGGAATTACTCTTGGCAGTGCTCCTGGGGACCCTATCGGATGCCGGGATTCAAATACAGGGTTGGCTACGTGGGAGACCAACGCCCTACCTGCTGTGCTATCACTCTAGCCCCTGTTACTCATTTTTTTATAAGCTAAATCAGACAAATTTACCAACACAAAAAATGTTACATACTATACTTTTCCTTTAGTTGTGAATATTTTTCAACTCTGTTTACTTTTTGCTGTATTTCTTGTGTCATATTGTTCTCACTAGAAGAATGAGAACAAGATAGTATACATATCACATTTTTTTTTTCAGTACAACACCTGGTAAAAATTCACTAATTTATTTTTTGTTTATTAAAATTAATCAATTTTATAGAACTATAATATCTAGTATGTTTAAATAGCTATCACCGCTGTAGTGTAAATCAAGAAGTTCATAGTACCATCTGGTTTAGGTATTTGGTACATGCCATAAATTTATTCTTAGAGAGGCTTTGAGGTAAGCTGTCCAGAATATGACTTTTACTTTTGGTGTCAGGCTGTATGAATTCTCCTGTCTATGGTTCTGTTATTATATAATCTTCAGGTTTTTTCAGACCAGTAAATATATCATGTTTATATGCCTTTTTGAGAGAAGAAATAACATATGACCTATAGCACATATTCTTTATTTTTCTTATATTAAACTTGCTCATATCTCAGAGTATACCTTGATTAATACTCATTATGAATGTTGCTCATAATTTAAATGTCTCATATTTTCTTTTGGTTTTCCACATAAGGTACTGATATCTCTAGTTTTAGCTTCAACTTATAGTTCTTTCCATCATTCTATGCACGTTTAGCCCTCTTCTCAGATGCATCTTCCTGCAGTTATAATCAGTAGTGAAGAAAGAAAAGTGATTTTTATGATTACAAGTTGAAACAGTAGTGTACCACTAATATTTTTATATTCTTTTAATTTTTAGGTCCATGGTTCAAAGTCACAGAAAATGAATGTATATGATGGCTTTCGACAGATGGTGAGAGAAGGAGGTTTCCTTTCCCTTTGGAGAGGAAATGGTACGAATGTCCTTAAAATTGCTCCTGAGACAGCTGTTAAGTTCTGGGCATATGAACAGGTAATTTTTATCATATACAGAATTTATAAATAAAGAGAAGCTAAACTTTTCAGTAACAGGCGACATAAAATATTTTTTTTTGGTTTTTATTTTATTTATTATTATTTTTTTAACAAGGGGGCACATCCAGCTGGATGTATGATTGGCAATCAGATTCAGGGTCTTGCACATGCTAGGCATGACCTCTACCACTTGAGCTGTCTTCCTGGCCCTGAATAGTTGCTTTAAAATATAATACTTTTCCACATATATAATAATTTTTCACATAGGAATTTCTACTGTGCTACAGGAGAAATTTAGGATCAGAGTGGATAAATTTAGGATTTGACATTTCTTGTGATTGAATTCTGGGGTTCTGAATTTAATATCACATTTTTATAAAAAGAAAGAATTTTGTGTTCTAAGTAGCTCTTTGGGCTGGAGTAATAGCACAGTGGGTAGGGTGTTTCCTTGCACTCGGCCGACTTGTGTTCAATTCCTTTGTCCTCCGATACCCCGGCACGTTACCGAGAGTATCCCGTCTTCACGGCAGAGCCTGGCAAGCTACCCGTAACATATTCGATAGGCCAAAAACAGTAACAACAAGTTTCACAACGGAGACATTACTGGTGCCTGCTCAAGCAAATTGATGAACAACGGGAGGACAGTGCTACAGTGCTAAGTAGCTCTTCAAGAAAGTGAAAAATTTTAACTGAATTCATTTGAAGTTCAGTCTAAAAGACAAGTTGTACACTTGTCTTTTATGAAATTAGTCCTACTATATATATATGAAAAGAAAAATTTTAAATTGAAGTCTTTAGAGTAATTTGACATTTCTCAAGTAAAATTGAGCTGAATTTAAAATAAAATAGCCATTAAAGCAAGATCGCTCCTAGTCTATGCACTTCTGCACTAAGAGTTGGCATGTGATAAGTAATTGCTTGGTATGTGTTTGTTGAACCAGTGAATGAATGTATTTACCTCTGAGTCACCTCTCTATTGACTTAGATTATTTAGATTATTGCTTCTGCATAACTTGGTGTTAAGGAAAATACAGTAAAGAGTTCTAGAGTTCACTGTCTCTGTCCCTTAGTAGAAACATCTTGTTGAACATTTACAATATTATTTTTCCATTATTTTTATATCATTGTTAATTTTAACCAAAAGAATATTAAATTTCATGATTATGGTTCAGCTCACATATTTATAATAGTTTCTGGCTTGGATGTACATAGTTACCACATCTCACCACCAAAGTGACCAAGATCTTCCACTTTTGTTCCAGTGCCACTCCTAATCCACCTTTTTTGTCCCCTCCCATACCTCATTCCTTCACCCTGTTTGGCGTTCTTAGTTTTGTAGTCCAGAGCCAAGTATTCATTATTATTTAATACTGTCATTTCCTTGTTTATTTCTCTGTGTCACAGATAAATCATACTATCCAGTATTGGTCCCTTTCCCTCTGACTCATTTCAGTTAACATGAAGCTTTCCTGTTCATTTAAGTTGCAGCAAACTACAAGATTTCATCTTTTCTTATGGCTGCATAGTACTCCATTACATATCACGACTTTTTTAGGCTTGTACACTAGGTCACACTGCTCATATACCATTGGTGGTGGCATATGCAGTCCCAATGGCAATGCCGCCTGGATCAGATTTAATGACTTGGGGTGCCAGAGAGTGAATTTTCAGCTTCATACGTTCAGTGCAGGAACTCCATGACTGAGCCACATTCCCCGGTCCTATTACAGGTCTTGAATTAGTATAAGTTATGGTAAGTATAAATATATTAAATCATGGTCACGGTCCTCCCGTTGTTCATTGATTTGCTCGAGCCGGCCCAGTAACGTCTCCTTCGTGAGATTTGTTGTTACTGTGTTTGGCATATTGAGTACGTCACCGGTAGCTTGCCAGGCTCTGCCGTGCGGGCGAGATACTCTCGGTAGCTTGCCAGGCTCTTCCACAGGGGCAGAGGGATCGAACTCGGGTTGGCCACGTTGGCTGCGTGCAAGGCAAACGCCCTACCCACTGTGCTTTAAATATATTAAATATATTTTCAAATTTCCAGAGAGCTAGCTAGTATTTACCAGAAGGTAAATACTATAGCTATCCTATATCTTAATAGGTCTCTTAATAGGTCTTGTTCATTGAATAACAGGTTTAGAAAATGAAGTAGAGGAAGTATAGAGTATTTTGCCTGGCATTTAACTGTCTTAGACATATTGATATGGGACAAAACTGTGGTCTAGTTGGGTTGTTGTGTGCATAGCAGAGATGGTAAGGTCGGCAATGCATATATGTTCTCATGGCTTCACCTGCCATCTGTCTACTAACTGTCCTGCATTCTGATGTTTTTTTTCTTTGATATTATACCTGTATGTCATATATGTATGGCATACATGTGCCTATCTGCTTATATATCCCATCCTTCACTACATGTACATACATGCCTGCATACACACACAGCATTTTTCTTTCTGTGTGTCAGAGAGTGGTGAATATCCTTTTAATAATTTACTCAGGAGTTGCTACAGTCAGTTCTTATTGCTATACTTCCTTTTGCATGCCACTGTTACAGCACTGAATTCTGATGATCTCAGTGCTGTTCTCTGCTTAATGGAATGGTTAACTTCCTCAGGCAATATTTGTTTTCAGGTTTGTATTCCCTGTACCTTGCCCAGGGCTAGTAAATGCTTATTGAGTGAGTGAAGACACAGAACTTCCACAGTTAGCTAATGAGCCCAAGTATTCGAGAATCTCAAGCCCATTGCAATGAGTGGAAAGGTCACTTAAATCACTTAACTTCCCGTTAGTCGTTGATTTGCTCGAGCGGGCGCCAGTAACGTCTCCATTTGTCCCTGTCGCGTGCTAGTGTAGCCCACTAGCACACTAGTGGAAAGGTAGGTACTTCAAATAGAAGCAGTAACACATAAAGAGAAATTTGGCAGTCCTTGGGGGACTCAGTGAACATCAATCACTCTGTAAACAGAAGGTAAATACTATTTACAGGTAAATACTAGGTTCAAGTCTAGTATTGTATATTTCTAGGAATTTAATGATGGAAGCATGCCAAATATAAAAGGACTATAGAATTTATAGATTTAATACTAAATGTAATGAGGGAGTCAGCTTATATAAGGGAGTGAAATATTTACATATAAGAAAGACCCACCTTAACAACAAATAGATAATATTTTGGAAGTCTGTTTAATGAAATATCCCAGTAGCTCAGTTAAGAAATGATGAGCTCCAGAATATGGTGGGGACTGTAGGGATTGGATAAGAAGATGATGAACTGAAAATATTTTGGAAATAGAATCAATAAAAGTTACTAAGTGGGGGTAGAGTTAAAAAAAAAAAAGAGGAATCAGGTGTAATACTCTGGTTCCTAATTTAAGAAACTGAATAAAACAAGAGACAGCAAGAGGAATATATTTTTAAACAAAATAACAGGATATTTCAATGTACTGACCTCAGAAGAAAATTTAGCTTGTTGACAGTTTTAAGTACCTGGCATAGTGACTAATCCCTTTACAGGCTCTCTGTTTCCTTTTTTTTTTTTTTTTTTTTGCATATGGTATTCGATATGCCAAAAACAGTAACAACAAGTCTCACAGTTTGTTGTGAGATGTTACTGGTGCCCACTCAAGCAAATCGATGAACAATGGCAGGACAGTGCAGTGCTACATGGTATGTTTTGGTGAGGCAGAAATCCAGAGCTCCTAGACTTTATTTTTTTAATTTAATTTTTACTAGTGAAACACCATGAGGTACAGTTGTAGACATACAAATTTTTGTGCTTGGGTTTCAATTATACAATGATCAAGTACCCATCCCTCCATCAGTGCCCATTTTCCACCACCACGGGTCCCAGTATCCCTCCCACCCCCCAACCCCATCCCACCCTGACTCTGTGGCAGGGCATTCCCTTTTGTTCTCTCACTCCTGTTGGGTGTTGTGGTTTGCAAAAGAGGCAATGGGTGGCAATCATGTTTGGTCTATAGTCTACTTTCAGCATGCTTCTCCCATCCTGGGAGGAACCTCCCAAAACCATTTATTTGTGCTTCCTTCTCATCTGAGCTCCCTTTTCCCCTAGCATGTGTGGCTGGCCTCCAAGCCATGCTCCTAGACTTTAAATGCATGTTCTCTACCAATCACCAAGTATTTAAATACTCTGACAGGTGCTGCTGGAAATAGAGTGGTTACTAGGTGCAAATGATGCCATTGACATTCCTGCCAGTGTGTACTAGGAAATTTTAAACAAATCCTGTATAAAAATTGTGATAATCAAATTTGTGGTAAAATTATCAGAGCCTGTACAGAATAGGAGTTTGACTTAACATTCTGGTGTATTTCAGGAAACCATTACCCATGGAAGCACCAATATTTTGGGTAGTAGGTGGAGAATTTGGAGAAATTCATACATTTTATTTCATGAACAGGGAAATACAGATTTAATAGAAAATAACATTCCTATATTGTTGTATTGGAATTTTGGATTCCAAAGAATATACACACTGGCTAGGGAATGGAACTAGGGAATGGGACTTCCCAGCCTTTGAACTTGGGAAGGACCCAGAATTTTCATCCCAGACTGATCTACTTGCGGAAATTCGGCAACATTATGTTCTTTTTATTTAAAAAAATATTAAGGAACCATTGTTTACAAAGCTGCTTAGTAATTGAGTTTTAGGCATATAATATCAGCGGCAACTTCTGTGTCAACCAGTGTTCCCATATTCCCTCCCCAGCCCAACCCTGTCCCATCCTTGCCTGTCAACTTAATTTCTTTCCTCTTATATCTATCTCTTCTTTAAACACTGGGGTCAGGGTTACCTCAGCATTCCCCTTTATGACAATGCATTTCCTTATTTGGTATTCTATATCTTACCGATAAATAAGATCATCCTGTGTTTGCCTTTCTTCACTAACTTACTTCACTTGATAAACATAATGCTCTTCTGGAGATGAGTTGTGGAGCTAGGCCATTTCTATCTTGGAGGCTGCTGACCAATAACTTTTTATAAATTGTTAATATTTGCCATGTATTTTTTTGTATTGTTAAATTAGTGTTAAAAAATAGAACTGGGGAGAAATGCCCCAAAATTGTAAAAACTATTAATCCTTTATTTTCTGGGGAAAGATACTATTGTTTTGTCTTCTTAAGCTTAAGTATGTCTTGTCTGTGGAATACATATCTGTCTTCTGTGAACATTTAACCTGAGAATCACATTATTTGGTAAATGGAATATATTAGCGTTTAGGCCTTGCCTTTATACTAAATATTGTTTATGTAGTATATGCACTTTGAGAAATATCACATTGACCAAAATTGGTATTTAGTAGCTGATTTGTTATTTGTTATTGTCTTAAACCTTGGGTTGCCATAACAACATCAAACACTGGTGATTTGAACAACCAATAAATTATAAGAAATGTACTTCTCATAATCCTAGAATTGGGAAATCCAAAACTAAGGTACTGGTTATCTTGCTTTCTGGTGAGGATTCTCTCCGTGGCTTGCAGGTGACTTGTCTTCTTGTGTGTGCACATAATTTCTGTGGTGATTTACCTGCATGTAGAACTATGGCGAGTGCACGGTGGTGGTGGGGTTGGAGGATGACACTGTTGTCTCTCTCTTTTTTTAAAAAAAGACACTGATACTGTCTTGAGGGGGCCACTCCAGTCCTTGTATAACCTAATTACTTTGCAAAGGACCGTCTTCAGATTCCATCACATTGTACATTGCAGCTTTGACACTGAATTTGAATGTGTGTTTCACAATTAAGTTTATAGCAGGTTTTAATGTGCATTTAAAATTTATTTCCACAGTACAAGAAGTTGCTTACAGAGGAAGGACAGAAAATAGGAACCTTTGAGAGATTTGTTTCAGGTTCCATGGCTGGAGCAACAGCACAGACTTTTATTTATCCTTTGGAGGTAAGAGCCAGGATGCAGTCTGGCTGTATTTGTAGCATTTATGTATTGCAGTGTAATAACTCATCCTCAGACTAACAGTTGAAAGCAACAAGCATTTATAATCTCCCATGATTGTAGGACAGGATATTAAAAGTGGCTCAGGGTTTGTCACAACCTACATCCAAGGTGTTGACCAGGACTGCCTTCACTGTAAAGGTCATTGGAGCTTGAGCTGCTGTAAAATTCACTCACGTGTTTGTTGCCAGAATTCCCTGGCTGTGTGCTAGACACATCAGTTCCACCTTACAGTGTACTTGGGTATCCCCACTCCATGGTATTTGGTTTTCCCAACAGAGTGATCTACAAGAGGCATGAATGAGCACCCCAGATGGAAGCTACAGTTGAATTTTTATTTATCTGGGGAGGCCTCCCAAGCAGTACTCAGAGGGTCTGGGTACTATTCCTGGTGATACTTGGCCAACTTCTTGCTAGAGTCTGGGGATTCAGTGCTGCCCCAGTGTTGTGGTGCTGGGAACCCTCAGGACCACTCAGCCTCCAGGGTAACCTTCCACTGGGCCTCTGCCCAGCAATTATTAGGACGCCATGTGGTGTCAGGCAATTACCGCTCTACTTCCCTCAGTTCTGGAAGCTGTGTCTTTTGCCACCTCTGTTTTCTGTGGACCACATAGACCAGGTAGAGAGTGGGACAGAGCTATACAAGTCAAGGATAATTGGAGGTTGGCAGCAGCAGTGTTAAAACGCTCTCAACTAGAACACTTTTCTTTCTACAGAGGTTTTGCACCATCAATTTAATAATGAAACTTAAGGATTTGTTTAGGTGGTGGTGGTTCTAATTAGATATTATCCCATAAGAGCACAGGTTGACAAGCAATGGATTTGTGGAATATTTTGGACAGTCCTTGAGTTTTTTTTTTTAAGCGATCTTAAAAAATAAATTCCCCTTTACCTCACAAAGAATATGTAAGTGGCCTGATTCTTTAGGTCTACAGACTAAAGTATTTATTGTCTGGACTTGATAAATAAGGTTTCCAGCTTTTGCTTTAAATGTACAAAAATAATATTGTAAATACAGATATCTTTGTTTATAAAACAAAGGATTTTTAAAAAACTGATCAGGCCAAAGCATTATGTACCCTAATTTTTGCCTTTTTAATATGTCACGATCACTATCACGATCATCCTGTTGTTCGTTGATTGCCTCGAGCAGGCATCAGTAACATCTCCTTTATCCTAGCCCTGAGATTTTAAAAAGTGCCATATTCAAGGCTCTTTCAGGGTTAGGAGAATGAGACCCATCATAGTTACTGGTATTTGGCATATTGGATATGTCATGGGGAGTTTGCCAGACTCTGCCGTGTGGGCAGGTTACATTCGGTAGCCTGCCAGGTTGTCCAAAGTAAGAATGAGATAAAAAGATGTCGCGCAACCGCGAATGTACATTATATATGTACATTAATATATCTTTCCTTGAAAATATCTTAATATGAATGTTCATATTACTTCCATACATCTTAAAAATATCCTAGTGAACCTAGTCTTGCTCTTTTTTTTTTTTTTAAATTTTGCTTTTTGGGTCACACCAGAAATGCTCAGGGGTTACTCCTGGCTTTGTACTCAGGAATTACTCCTGGTGGTGCTTGGGAGATTGAATATGGAATGCCGGGGATCGAACCCAGGTCGGCTGCGTGCAAGGCAAATGCTCAACCCGCTATGCTATCGCTCCAGCCCCAGTCTTGCCCTTCCTTCCTTCCTTCCTTCCTTCCTTCCTTCCTTCCTTTCTTTTTTTTTTCCTTTTGGGTCACACCGGTGATGCACAGGGGTTCCTCCTGGCTCATACACTCAGAAATTACTTTTGGTGGTGCTTGTGGTACCATATGGGATGCTGGGAGTCAAACCCGGGTTGGCCACATGCAAGGCAAATGCCCTACCCGCTGTGCTATTGCTCAGGCCTCCTAGTCTTGCTCTTATATTCTCCATCTCCATTAATAGCATTACTTTCCCACTTCCCTGTTGCTTCTACCCTATGTTCCAAGCTAAAAGCACAGGAATCATTATGCTAGAGGTTTCCCAGCCTATTTGGCCTATACTCCCTTTTCAGAAAAAAAATAATTACTCAGTATCCCCCTGAATATTTTTTTAACAAGCAAGAAAATAAACAGAAAGCACCCCTTACTTGCACCCAGGGCTATTACTGCACCTTCTCCCAGATTGTTCGTGCATCCCCTCCCCCATTCCAAGGTAGTATCACCCACTTTGGGAAAGGCTGTTTACACTATCGTCTCCCTGGCCCTTTATGTCTAACTGTTTATTATTCTGTTAATATGCGACATCAGTCACATATTCTACTCCTCTGCTACTGATTATTTTTAGAGCTTTGCAATAAATATGTTTCCTTGGATCTGATCTTTGTCCTTCAGTGGAGAACACATTGACAAATTGTACTATCATTTGACAGGATGTGCTGGATATCTGTCTGTAAAATTACTCTTTGGAACTATAATCAAAGAGTTCATATGTGCAATAATATTTTGATATATTTTATTACCAGGTTATGAAAACAAGACTGGCTGTAAGCAAAACTGGACAATACTCTGGAATATTTGATTGTGCCAAGAAGACTTTGAAGCGTGAAGGCATAGGAGCTTTTTATAAAGGTTATGTCCCCAATTTATTAGGCATCATACCTTATGCAGGTATAGATCTTACTGTCTATGAGGTGAGTTTATAGCAGCATTTTGAATCTATAAATACAGTTAAGTAATTCTAATGATTAGAATTTGACTTAATATGAAGAAATATACGTATACTTGGAAACTGTTTTTGACCAAAAGTAAAAATTTGATCTTTCTCATTTGGTTTTTTGAGTCACACCTAGCATTGCTCAGGGGTTACTCCTGGCCCTGCATTCAGGAATTACTTCTGGCAGTGCTCAAGGGACCACATGGGATACCCAGGATCGAACTAGGGTTGGCCACGTGCAAGGCAAATGCATTACCTGCTGTATTATTGCTCCAGACTCTGGTCTTTATTTATTTTTTTTTTTATGAGATCCTGTATTCCTGTGGTTGCTTTTGTGCTAGATTTCTCTGCAAATAATTTCTATTAAGAGAGTAGATGCACATTTAGTTATAGCTCATCTTAGATGATGGCTAGCCTCATTTTTATGAGGGCAGAGAGACTATGAAAATATGTACCTTTTCTTGATTTTTAAAAATATGGCACTGGTGAATCTAAGAGAGTGATATATCTGGGTAGTACAGATATGTCCCTTTGTATTAAACAGGAAACTCAATATAAATTGTAGATCAGCTATGCTATTTAAACCATTTAATAACTTATGAATCTGGGACCAGTTATTGAGCGCATAGTATGTCCAAATCTCTGGGTTAGGAGCTGGAGATAGGGAATGAAAGGGGAGGTCAGTCTCTGCCTTGAAAAACTGAAGGTCTGACAATAGGAAAAGGCAAACAAAACATAGTATGGTTAGTTTTACTATGATAGAAGTAAGTCTGGGTCTTAGGATGGGACCCAGCATATAGTTGAGAGAAGGAGTGATATAGGGAATGAAAGCTCTTATAGAGAACTTTTTTTTCCACTTAAAAAACATACATATAAAAATATAATTCACATACATTGAAATCACCCATTTAAAGTATATAATTTGATGAATTATATTACATCATTAAGTTACAGGGCTGGAGCCATAGCACAGCGGTAGGGTGTTTGCCTTGCATGCAGCCAGCCCGGCCGAGCTGGGTTCGATTCCTACGCTCCTCTCAGAGAGCCCGGCAAGCTACCGAGAGTATCTTGCCTGCACAGCAGAGCCTGGCAAGCTACCCATGACGCATTCAATATGCCAAAACACAGTAACAACAAGTCTTAAAATGAGACGTTACTGGGCCCGCTTGAGCAAATCGATGAACAACTGGAAGACAGACAGGACATTAATTTACAATCATAAAATATAAATTACTCAGCTTTAACAATTTTAAGTGTACAATTTAAGGACTTTAATTACATTCACATTTCTGTATAATCACCACTGATACATTCAAAACTTTTGTGTCACCCTAAACATAAATTCTGTAAGTACTGTCCTGACCCCCACTAGTAATCTCTGATATATTTTTGATCTCTGCGATTTTATTTTCTATGGTTATTTCATGGAAGTTGAATCTTACTGTATTTGTTCTTTCTGGCATTTCTTATTTCATCTAACAAAATACCTTCAAAGTTCATTCATGTTTTTGTAGGGGTGTGAACTTCACAGACCTTTCCTAGTGTTGTATCTCCAACTTTCTTTTTCAGTATTATTTCACTAGTTGTGGATACCTTTGAGGGATCCTAACTCCTGGCAGATTTTAGGATGTTTTTTCTGTTTATTAAAAATTGTCACTGGGATTTGAGAAGGGAATTGTTTTGAAAATTAGATTGCCTATGATACCATCAAAACCATAAAAACTTTCCATAGACTAGTTAAGTTGGAAAAAGAAAAATGAATCATTTCACAGGTTTAGAGTGTAGATATCCAACAAGGTACTCTCTGATTTAATTCCTGGTGAATTCTCACTCTCAGGATTGAATACAGTTAAAATTGCCTTCTTGCTATTTTCTCACATGGTCTTCCCTTGATGTACGCATGGAGAGGGAGCTCTTTGTGTGTGTGTGTGTGGGGGGGGGTGGTTGTAGAGGGGGCAGAGAGGATAGAGAGATTGAAGGAGTGAGAGTTCTCATTTTTAAAATTGTTTTTAAAATAACACTAAAATTTTTGCATCAAGCCTCACCACCATAATTTTATTAAAGTTAATTACTTCCCTAAAGGTTCCATCTCAAAACCCATCTCATTGGTGGTTGGAACTTCAATATATAATATTTGAAATGATCAAAAACATTCTTAATAGGTTTAGTTCATATTTTAACAAGTTTTGTCTTCTAATGTATAAGGTTGGGATGAGTACCAGTAATCTGTGTCATTATTAGTTCTTTTAGCAGTGTTTGTACTTTTCAGCACTTATTGCTGAAGTATTTTATTACTGTTTATTGCTAAGTATTATTTTCAATACTAGTATAAATAGAATTGTTTATTTAATTTCATATTTTTTATCATTTATTGTATCAAAATGCAATTGTTATCGATTTTGTATCTTTTAACTTTGTTGAAATTATTCGTTTTAAGTATTTCTTTAGTATTATTATAGAAAAGGCTGATTTATCTATGAATATGGGTAATTTTTACTTCTTCTTAATTTGAATGCCTTAATGTCTTTATGTGCCTGTTTGCATGGAATATGTTTTTCTCCATTCTTTTGACTTATATCATTAGATCTGAAGTGAGTGTTCCATAGGCAACATCCTTTTTATCCATTCAACATATTATCATTTAGCTAATTGGAATGCTGAACAATCATAAACATTTGAGAGAAAATAGGAACTTAGGGAATAACGAGTAGTTGTGGCATGTGATAACATTGAGAATTGTTAGTCGATGAAGCTAAAGAAATACGTTCTGCTCAGATTTGAAAGGTTATGTGTTCTGAGTTGAAGCTTCTGTCTGAAGGTGACTGACAGCTAGTGAAGGACAAGCCAGATGAATGAAACAAGTTGATTTATGTTTTTCAGATATATATTTGCTGGCAGTAAATGTACATCTACATCTACTGTGAGCATCTTTTAAAAACTGTGTGGCAGGAAATCCTGGAAGAAGACTAGATTCATTTGGAATGAAGGATATGAATTTAATGCTTTATATCTTGAGCTTGAAGTCTCTGTAGAATATCTAAACACAGATGGCCAAGGAGTTTGATGTACATAAAAGTAACTTGGCTGAAACATTCTAGTCAGAGAGACAGTATATAATAATAACTATTGCTTTAGCTTTCTGGTTGTATATAATGCCTTTGACTATAATTGTATAGCTATAATTGTTATACCAAGTATTATACTAAGTTTGTTTTTAAAGTATATAAAAGTTACACTCAGTGTGTAGCCCCTATTCATTACAACTGCCACCACAACTAAGACAAGGGAAGAGAGTAGAATAGTTCTTTCTCAGATTTTATTAAAAAATACTCAATGGGATTATACATGATGAGGTATAAAATGGGATATAACTAATAGTAGTATGGCATTTTTATTAATGGCCATAGGAAATGGTCTTTAGATCATGTTTGGTATGCTACTGGTCCTCACACTTAGAAGAATGAAGAACAAGTATGCAAACCCCATGTGTTTTGAATCCTTGGTGTCTTGCTATCCTCTGGATGGAGCTTCCACACCCTCCTGTGACTTGTGCTTCAGAAAGTGCTCTGCCCAATTGGGCAGAAATGGGGCTGTCTCAAAATGGAAGACTAATACTCAAGGATACTAGAGATAAGGACCAGGAAGATTGCTCCATGGCTTGGAAGCCGGCATCCCATGCTGGGGGAAAAGAGATGTGCCGGAAGTAGACTATAGACTGAACGTGATGGTCACTTAATACCTGCATTGCAAACCATAACTCCCTAAAGGAGAGAGAGAGAGTAAAAGAGAATGCACCTGCCATAGGGTGGGATGGGGAGAGGGGTACTGGGAACATTGGTGGTGGAGAATGGGCACTCGCGGAGGGATGGGTACTCGATCATTGTATGACTGAAATGTAAGCACAAACGTTTGTAAGTCTGTAACTGTATCTCTTGGTGATCCATTAAAAAAGGGAAAAAAAATAGAAATGGGGCTGTCTCTCCCAGAGTGGGAGGAGCTGTGAAAATATTTGTGTTAATACGTACAAGAGTAGGAGCAGTTCTTAATTTGTTCCTTCATTATTTTTCTTCTATTGTGTTTTTCTGACAGCTCTTGAAGACCCATTGGCTTGATAACTTTGCCAAAGACTCCGTAAACCCTGGGGTGGTGGTGTTGCTGGGGTGTGGGGCCTTATCGAGCACCTGTGGGCAGCTGGCCAGCTACCCATTGTCTTTGGTGAGAACTCGCATGCAGGCTCAAGGTGAGTTTTTGACTACAGAAATATTCTGGTAGAAAGACTGCATCAGTAATGTGCTTTGGGAACTCTTAAGATTTTGTGAGACACCAGAAAATGATTTTCCGTTAGTATTTCTTAACGTTTTTCCCCCATTATTTCTTTCCTAAGGAACCTTTTAAAAAGTTCTTTCCTAGTCACTATGCTCTCATCATGAAAATTTAATATCACATTACACTGCATATGTGCTGTTTTGGTTTTGGTTTGGGGACTACACCCAGCAGTGCTCAGAGCTTATTCACAGCTCTGCACTCAGCAATCACTCATCATAGTGATGGGGAATCATATGTGGTGCCAGGAATTGAACCTAGATCGACCCTGTGCAAGGCAAGTGCCTTACCCATTGTTCTGTCCCTCTGGCCCCTGAATGTGTATCATTTACCCGTGCTTTACATTTAAACAAAGTAAGGTTTTTTTTTAAAGTTTTTTTTAATACTATTTTGTGAGTGCTTATTTTAAGAGGACATAAAATTTTGTTAATAGGTAGATTTGGGTTTAGGTCCTATGCTCCAAATGTCTTTAGATTTTTGTTTTCTCATCTATAAATAAGAATGAAAACTGTGCAATGTTATAAGAATTAGCAGCAGTCTATGTAAAGCACTGACTTTTGTCAAGGTCTTGGTAAATGGTGGATGGAATTGTCAGCTTTTATAAGACCCCACAACTTTTGAACTAAGATCCTTTCCCCCTATGACACAGTCTCCTTTATTTACACCAATACTCTTGGATCTTCCTTCTGTCTCACTGATTATTTTCTTTGTTGACTTTCAGTGCCTTTTGTTCCCTTTATTTTTTGCTGTTTCTCAGCTCTCTATAATAATTTATCCTGAACATCTTCAGCTCTATCCCCAATCTCCCTTCCAAGTCCCATACTCCCAATATTCCAGCAAATAGTCAAGCACAGCGGTAGGACATTTGCCTTGTGCATGGTCGGCCTGGCCAAGCTGGGTTCGATTCCTCCACCCCTCTCAGAGAGCCCGGCAAGCTACTGAGAATATCTCGCCCGCACGGCAATGCCTGGCAAGCTACCTTTGACGTATTCGATATGCCAAACACAGTAACAACAAAGTCTCACAATGGAGACGTTACTGGGCCTGCTCGAGCAAATCGATGAACAACGAGAGGACAGTGCTACAGTGCTACAGTCAAACATTAAGTGAGACTTGAGCCATTGCCCCTTGCTAGACACACTTCCAGACGCTAGGGTTAAAACATCCCAGAGTCAGATAGATGTAACTTCTGCCATTATGGAGAGGTAAAGATGAATATTCATCAAGTTAACAGATGTAATTAAACCACTTTACTCTCTGTGGGGGTTTCACAGAGCAAAGGAACTTTTTAAAAAATTGAATCACCATGAGATACAGTTACAAAGCTTTCATATTTTAGTTTCAGTCAGACAGTGATCAAACACCCTTCCCTCCACCATGCACATTTTCCACCACCAATGTCCCCAGTATTCCCCACTCCATCCCAACCCTCCCCCTGCCTCTGTGGCAGACAGTTTTCCCCATACTCTCTGTCTACTTTTGGGCATTATGGTTTGCAATATAGATACTGAGAGGCTATCACAGGAACTCTAACTTAACTTAGGAACTAGAGAACATTATCACTGAAACTGAACGTTGAGGGGGTCAGGCAAATGGTACAGAGGTTAAGAGGTATGCCTAGCTATGCAGTCTTTGTGAATTTCCACCACAGCATACTGTGGCCAGGGCCAAAAAAGTTTAGAAGGTGATGGTGCAGCCATAATCTTCAGATACTTGCAAAAATAGATCTCAGATTCAGGCTTGGCTTTATGGCAAGTGAATGTGCGGATAGAGGGCTGCATCATTGGTTTTGATGAGTATATGAACCTCATGGTAGATGATGCAGAAGAGATTCATGCAAAAACGAAGTCAAGGAAACAACTGGGTCAGATCCCGCTAAAAGGAGATAATATTACTGTGCTCCAAAGTCTCCAACTAGAAAGGATGGGTGAAGTGAGAAATGTGAGAAGGTGCTGCAGTTTGTGTTTCAGACGTTTCTTTGGGGAAAGTAGTTTTAAAGCATTTGCTCATATTGTTTGGATCGCTGTTATGCCATTACCAGATGATAATACATGCTGGGGGATTGTTTTTATTTTAAAAAAGGATGCATGCCCAGTTCTCTCCCTGGCACCATGTGGTCCCCCAAGTGCCACCGAGTGATCCAGGGGTCCGAGATCCTTAGGTTCTGAGCAGCACTGCATCCTAGAATCCCGGCATTGAACCATTCAGCCATCTAGGAGTGGCTCAGTGTTCTACTGAGAGCCCCCCCAAACAAAACAATACAACTGGGCTGAGCAAGACAAGTGGGACTGAGCTGGGCTCCTGCAGGGTGGAAAAAAGAGCATTTCAGTATGTGAAGGTACGAGGCAGGAGAAAATGAGACATGTGACTTATTTGAAAAGCTATAAGTTGATATAGTATCAGAGAAAAATGCAACTAATAAGTTAAACTTTGGTGTACATTCATTGAACCATCATAACCCTCTTTGAGGGATGATGAAGGTATTCTCATTTTTTCAAGAAATGACCAAAGTGAGTTAAATAATTTCCACAAGGTTATACATTTGGTATAATTTGATTACACTTGAATAGATGTGGCTCACTGCCGGCAGTTTTTATCTTCATTGTCTACGCACCAACATCCAATTATGGTGAAAGAGAAATTGAGAAGTTCTACATGGAGCTGGAGAAGTTCTATAAAGAAGATCACACCTTCTACAAGATCATTGTCGATGATTTTAATGCCAAGATATGACCAAGAAGGTCAGCCGATGAACTCCACATCGGGACCCATGGCCTAGAATGGAATGAACAGGGTGACAGACTGTCTGAATTCATTATGTCAATCAACCAAGACCTTCCATGGTAACTCACAGTTCCAAAAGACTGAATCTAAATGTTGGACATGGGAGTCTCCTGGTGGACAGTTCCACAACGAAATAGACCACATCATATTCAATCGGCGGTTTTGCCTAACTGATGTTGCAGTTGTCCCAAAACTCCAAACAGGATCAGATCACTGTCTCCTTCATGCAAAATTCTACCTCACAGAACAGGGAGAAAAGAATGCAAAGTTTAAGAAGAGAACTCCCAGAACGACCACCAACTGGGAGCTCTTTGGCTCTATTGCGGCAACCTGGGAAGATGCTGTCATTGACAACATTGATGAGGAATATGATCGAATGATTCAGCACCTCCATGATTGTGCGAGGAATGCCAAGAGAGAGATAACCACAAAAAACCACCTTTCTTCGAACACTCTTGAACTTATTCGCCAACGTGGCTTGGCACATGCCTCAGGCAGCCACAAGCGAATGTCCGAGCTGGCAAAACAATGCAGAGAAGCCATCAAGGATGACCTCAAAGACAGGAGAACAGTGGTGCTGGTAGATGCGGCAGAAGCCGAGAAAAGCATTAGTAATGCCTGCCTGTCCTTCACCAACTACAAGACCAAGATGACTGCCCTCCAACATCCTGATGGATCTATCACATCTTCCAGAAGGGCAATGGAGAAGATTATTCATGACTTCTACTCAGATCTCTTTAATAGCCACGTCCACTTGCCCACATACCACATTCCGCACAATGGATATGTCGTTCCCAAAGTTCTCCCTTCCGAAATTCAACTTGCCATCTCATTGGTAAAGAAACAAAGAGCACTTGGCCCAGAAAAGATCAGACCTGAACACCTGAAGAACTTACCATCAGTACTCATCAATACACTGGCTCGGCTCTTCACACGCTACCTGTCTGAATGCAAGGTTCTATCCCAATGGAAAACCAGCAAGACTGTACTACTATACAAGAAGGGAGACATTCACGACATTGGCAACTATCTCCCAATCTGCCTACTGTCTGTCATCTACAAACTGTTCTCTCGAGTCATCCTGAATAGGATTAGCAGAACATTAGATGAAGGACAACCATGTGAACAAGCCGGGTTCCGAAAAGGATTCAGTACCATCGACCATATCCACACGATTACTAAGCTCATTGAGGTTTCTCAGGAGTTCAAGGTGCCACTCTGTCTAACGTTCATTGATTTAAAGAAGGCCTTTGATTCTGTTGAGACAGAAGCGGTCATAGAAGCCCCAGCCAATCAGGGCATACAAACTCAATACATCAGGATCCTCCGTGAGCTCTATTACAGATTCACTACCAGGATCTCAGCATTCTACAAAGAAGTAATCATCCATGTCAAGAGAGGGGTTCGGCAGGGTGATACCATTTCACCAAAACTCTTCAGTGCCACCCTTGAGAACATCAGGCGACTGGCATGGGAAGGAATGGGAGTGAAGATAGATGGTCGGCAACTACACCACCTCCGCTTTGCTGATGACATCGTTCTAATAACACCAAACATCAGCCAAGCGGCACAAATGCTGACCGACTTTGACCGTGAGTGTGGAAAGGTCGGACTACAGCTGAATCTTACGAAGACAATGTTTATGAGAAACAGCCTCGTTCCTGACGCTCCATTCGCTGTCAACAGAACCACCATCTCTGAATGCAACAGTTATATATACCTAGGTCGAGAAATCAACATGATGAATGACCTGGCACCTGAGTTACACAGGAGAAAGAGAGCGGCTTGGAATGCCTTCAAGAGCGTTGAAGAAATAACTAAGAGGACAAAGAACCTCCAGCTACGAGCACATCTCTTTGATTCCACTGTTCTTCCTGCATTAACATATGCCTCAGAGACCTGGGCCCTACGCAAACAGGGTGAGAACGCTATTCGGGTCTCTCAAAGAGGAATCGAAAGAGCTATGCTTGGAATATCACGCTTCACTCAAATGAGAGATAGAATCCGGAGTTCTGATCTCCTTCAACGCTCAAGAATCAGGGACGCTGTCTCATTTGCCAAGGCATCAAAAATCAGATGGGCTGGACACGTAGTGAGGTTTACAGACAACTGCTGGACTAGAGCCATTACTGACTGGATTCCATGGGATGTCAAAAGATCGCGTGGACGCCCACCTACAAGATGGTCAGACTTCTTCGTCAAGACCCTGAATGATCGGTTTGAGGCTCTGCATGTTCCTAGAACGAACAGATGCCATTGGGCTACGCTAGCACGCAACAGGGATGAATGGGGACCTTACTGGCACCTGCTCGAGTAAATCAATGAATAATGGGGGATCAAGTGATCAAGTGATACATTTGGTAGATAGGGAGCTGGGCTTTAGAAACGGGCTGTCTGATTCAGACTGTCACACAACCACTCTTCCCCTCCCTTGTGCCAACTACAGTTTCAGTCCTTGCCTGGCTGGTAGACTTGTTTATTTTTTTTATTATTATTATGATTTATTATTATTATTATTTTGGGGAATAACAAAATGAAAATATAGGGAGTTATTCCCCAATTTTTGTATCATCCTTGCACATCCACAATCATCTATCTCTACATCAGTCTGATTTTAGTAAATGCTCTCCAAAGTGAGCACTGTATTGTTTGTTATTACATGAACTTAATGTTCCCTATTGTCTTTCTTTCTTTTCCTTTTATTTTTCCTTTAACATATCACTTCATTTATTTACTTTTAAGTTTTTATTATTGAGTCATTGTGAGATAGACCCTTACAAAGTGTTTATGATTAGGTTTCAGTTATACAGTATTCCAACACCCATTCCTCCACCAGTGTACTTTTCCCAACCAGTGTCCCCAGTTTCTCTCCCATCATTCCCTCCTCTCCCAGCCTCCCTATATGGCAGGTACTTTCTCTCTCTCTCTCTCTCTCTCTCTCCCTCCCCCCACCCCCGCCTATTTTCGGCATTGTGGTTTGTGGTTTGCAATGCAGATACTATAAGGTTATCTGGTATATGTCTTTACCCATTACCTACTTTTAGCAGTAGAAAAGGGACCAGGATGACAATAATAGCTAGAAATGATCATGCTGGACATGAACTGAGTGTTAAAAGTAAGTATAGACTTGTTTCTGAGGTCAAAGTATAAAAAGTATTTTAGTCTTGTCCATCAATCTGAATACTTTTCAGTGTCTTCAACGTAAATACCACAATTCTTAGTGGGGATTTTAAAACTTCTGATTACCTAGACCAGTTTGTTTTTCAGCCCTGTCTCCTTTTCTTCATCCCTTCAATGTCTGTTTCCTGCTACTCAGAACCATTGATGCCAGGGTTCCTCGACCTTTTCACATCTATGAACTAGCACCTGTCCTGTTTATCAGTCCACAGGCTGGCGGCTATAACCAAGGCGATAACCAGTACGTTTCAGCCTTTCTTCACCCATGGACCAGTGGTGGAAGAATGCTGATTTATGCAAGAACCACCTGTAGCCAGAAGGGGAGCCCCTGTAGTGCTGGCCTGTCTGTTGGCCTTGGGCTAGCAACATAGATTTTCCCTCCTTTCCTTGGGTTTTGAATCCTTTTCAAGAACTCAAGGACTTCTTTTTACCTAAGTTTTCAAAATATTCCCCTTTCTCCCCTTACCCCCAAGATTGAAGTTTTCTCTCCTCAACACTTTGTTGAAGGGAAGAAACTGGTGGAGACATGGGAGATGGTGGTAGAAAGTGTGGGCTTTGGAATATAAGAACATCACCATTCTCACTTGCTAGCTAGGTGTAGGTTTCTCCATCTTTCTAAGCTGCGGATTACACCCTCATAATATAGAAATTACTTTGAAGTTTTGCTGCATAAGATAACTAACCCAATGTCTGCACATAGTAATCACTTAATAAATCACAGTCATTATGGATTCAAGTGTTGTACAAGATTCATATCAAGTGGTACTTTCTCAGGATCCTTGGGATACATTGTGTTCTTTCATTATATTATTATAGAATAACATGCTTAAATATTTGTGGGCTTGGTTTGTTTTCCAGCTATGGTGGAAGGAGCCCCTCAGCTGAACATGGTTGGCCTCTTTCGACGGATAGTTTCCAAAGAAGGAGTAGCAGGCCTTTACCGTGGCATCGCCCCAAACTTCATGAAGGTGCTTCCTGCTGTAGGCATCAGTTATGTGGTTTATGAAAATATGAAACAGACTTTAGGAGTGACCCAGAAATGACATGTTGAATATTTTTCTTTCAAATAACTATTGAAATTTTCAATAAAATCTAAAGCGACAGAATTGCAGCAAGTCTACAACACAGAATCATATTTTTACAAAAGAAAAAAATCTTCTCTGATTATTTCAAACATTTGAACTTAGTTTTATATAAGGACAATGTTAAAAATAGTCTTTTAAAATATTCAAAAATGTTTTTATACAGTTTTGAAAAGGCCACACAATTTTTAGTGCGTCTTGTTAAGTCCTTTCTACGAGTCCATCTTGAATTGTGAAACTGAAAATGTTCCTGTTTGAACTTAATTTTTTTGTGCAGTAGAATTATAAATCATGATTCCTTTGGTTTCAGCAAGTTCATTTATACTTTTTTTTTTACCTTGTTTGTTTGTTTTTGGTCTATACCCTGGCAGTGCTCAGTGCTTGCTCCTGACTCTGTGCTCAAGGATCATTCCTGGTTGGACTCTGGGACCCATTTGTGGTACTGGGGATCAAACCTGGGTCAACCTTACTCAAGGAAAACATCTCACCTGCTGTAGTATAGCTCTAGTCCTTTTTTTTAAATGATTAGTCAAGTCTTGAAAGAAATTGATTAATGTATTTTTATTGCTTTTTATTCCTTTGGAATGATTAAGATTCCTTTTAGAATCATTAAACAAAACTTATTGCATACAAATATACGTGATAGGATTTAAGTATGTGTATGAATTATTTCATTGTTTTTTTTTTTAATTATTTTTGTTTGTTTTGTGTCACACCTGGCAATGCCTAGGGGTTACTCCTGGCTTTGCACTTAGGAATTACTCTTGGCTGTGCTTGGGGAACCAGAGGGGATGCTAGGAATTGAACCCTGGTCAGCCACATGCAAGGCAAATCCTCTATCTGCTGTACTATCACTGTGACCCCAATCCTTGTCTTTCTTTAGGCTGAATAAGAATGAATTTAAGTGACCCACATCTTAACTTGAGATATACTCTTGGCTCTTTTCCCCTGGAGAAGACTGTGTTTTCTCTTGAACATGTCTCTCTCTTTTTCTTCATTTCCCCATTTTTTTCTATAAGTAAATAAAATTATTTTACTTCACTTAAGAAAAAAAAGAATAAATGGAAGTGGCAGTGGCAGAATTATGCCCAAGGCATTTGAATGCCCTGGTCTTTTCGTATCACTTTCATGTAAGGAGAACTGATGAGAAAATTCTTTCATGAATACTTCTTCATGTGAACTGTGCTAAGATGCAGTTAACTGAGGGTGGCACATTGCCAGTGTATTACTACCAAATGATTAATACAAGTCATATGAAGGAGTGTGTGTATTCTGTTGTTGGTTTGAAAAACACTAATAAATAAAACCCTTCTCTTTTGTTTCCTGCTACTGGAACCAGATTCCTTTTTAATCAGGAAGGCTCTAGGGACTATTTTTAGAAATCTGTAATTTCTTAATTGTATGATATGGGTTGATCATGGATGCAAAACATCACATTTTCCTTGCTCTGTTGAATTTCCTTGCACTTGAAATTCTTAATTTGGACAGCATGTAAACCTAGGGGATTAGAACACATTGATAGTACATTGACCTTCCATAATAGGTATGTATATTTAAATTAAATATCTATGACATAGTTTTTCTTGCCCCAAGTTTTGGAAGTTGTGATAGGGAAAACTTAATTTGTAATATTATTTGCATACTTTAAAAATTTTACTTAAGTCATTTTTATTCATCAACTGTCTTTTATGATTTGTATATATAGAACTTAGAAAAATATTTATTAGATGAAGTTGCTCTTACTGCTTTTTACTTTAGTTCCTTAAACTTGTTTGATTTATGATCATTTCTGGTATAAATTATCAACCTTTTAATGAAGATCTAGGAACATAGCAGCTATTGCTATATTTAAACCTACCTCTTTATTTTTCTGAACCAAAGAGAAAGCTTGGTTTTGCATTTGTGAAATGTATTACAAGACATAGTTCAATTTTATTTGCTATGTATGATAAGTGTATTTTATAACTTCTGATAGGCATAGAACTCAATCTTCAAGGTATTTTTGTACTTCTGAATACATAACGGACAATATTATGGTACGTGATTAGCTCTTTTTAATAAAAGTATGGAATGAATAAAGTTTCAAGCTACTGCAAAGTTTTTATTGCTTATTATGAGTTTATATTTGCCTTACGTGTGATTTATCTGTGTGTATTTACATCTTTTGAAAACAATGATCTTGTATCTTTAAAAAGTGCCTGATTGTTTATTTCTGACATTACTGTTTATTTTCTTTACATTTATATTAAAACATATATTTGTTTTTATAGTGACTTATCATTTAAAAATTAGAATAAAGCAAAAAGGGCTATTTCATAGTTATATTATTGGTGGAAAGTACTTTTCATATTTGGCTCTACTTATCTTTAAAAAATGCTTTTATTGAGGGAAGTGCATTATTCCTTGAGGTACTGCAATACCAAGTCAGTGTATGGAGTGGATGGAGCAAGCTCCTATTCCAACTCTCTTCCCTCGTCTTAGTTGTGGTGGCAGTTGTAATGAATAGGGGCTACACACAATCTTCACCTGCAGGCGTCACCATAACTGATGTTTACAACTTTTAATGGATCCTGGGAGTTATCATAAACATTATATTCTAAATCTTGTATGTCCTTTCCTACCTGAGATTTTTCCTTCAGTTTCTGATGTCCTTTCCCCCCAGATTGAATCTGCTTGTGCTTTCCAAATTAGATTCAGTTTTATTTACTGTCACAGTCACTGTCCTCCTGTTGTTCATCGATTTGCTCGACTGGGCCCAGTAACGTCTCCATTGTGAGACTTGTTGTTACTGTGTGTGGCATATCAAATACGTCACGGGAAGCTTGCCAGGCTTTGCCATGGGGTGAGATACTCTTGGTACCTTGCCGGGCTCTCCGAGAGGGGCGGAGGAATTGAACCTGGGTTGGCCGGGTCGGCCGCGTGTAAGGCAAACACCCTACCCGCTGTGCTATCGCAGCATCAGTTCTCGTATTTTAAAAATATTTCCCATCTCTTTGACAAAGCCTTCCCTCATGATTATGTAGTTCTTACATGTGTACATTTGCGATTTTCTGAGTTCTTTTAGTTTTATTATGATGGTTCTTTTCCGTTCTTCCTTCTCTGTCTTTCACTTGCCTCTCTGGAAACTAGTCACTTTGAGGAATTTCATTTTATTTTCCCAGGATGTCTCTGCTAAGGTTTCTGGGCTAGCTTAGCTTCTTTTTTCCCCCTGTAGGTGGCTCTGTGGCATTAGTTTTAGAATTCTCCTTTGTTTCTATGATCGTGATTGGGAGGGCGAGGAGGATGGAAATGAGGTCATTTGTTGCCCGTCAGAAATGAAAGGAAACTGAATGGAGGGAGAGATCCTGACTACCTCAGCCCCAGTGGCCGCTTGGGTCTTGCCTCCAGCCCACCTCACCGTTCCACCTCTGAGCTGCGTTGGCTGCTGAGCTCAGATGGCATCAGGAGGGAGCTTGGCTGCTCCCAGGCAGCCAAGTAACATAGGGACTCAGTTGTTTGTTTTCTAGTTTTTGCCCTAGAGCTTTTTCTGCTCGCAGTCCAGTGAATGACTAAGAGCTAGACTGAGGTGGGCTGTTATTCTTTTATTTTTTTTGTTTTTGGGTCACACCCGGCATTGCACAGGGATTACTACTGGCTCTGCACTCAAGAATTACTTCTGGTGGTGCTCGGGGAACCATATGGGATGCTGGGAGTCGAACCCAGGTCAGCCACATGCAAGGCAAACACCCTACCTGCTGTGCTATCGCCCCAGCCCCCTGGACTGTTATTCTTTCAGTCCTGCCTGTCCTTTGCCAGGCCCATCTGCCATGCTTGCGGTGACTGAGGCTGCCAGTCCCTCTGGAAGGTCTCTCCTCAGCTGATCCTGCCCCTCATGCTGGACTGTGTTGACGCCCTTTTTGATATCTGGCGGTGTCACTACACACATCACACTGTGAGTGAATGAAGCTTTGGTGTTTCCTTTAGTGGGAGCTTTGCTTATCAGCATTTGTTCTGACAGTTCCTTAGAACTCAGAAGCTCCTTTAAGAAAAAAAGGCAAAACAGAGAGCGAAAGAGCACCAATAGCCCAAATCTGGAAACAACCCAAGTGTCCATGAACAGATGATTGAATAAAGAAACTATGGTACGTACACGCAATTGAATATCACTTGGCTGTCAGAAAAGACGAATCACGCAATTTGCCGCTACCTGAACAGAACTGGGGTGTCATGCTGAATGGTTTGTCCACAGGAGCGGGACAGAAGCAGAATGATCTCCCTCATCTATGGGACATGAAAAACATAGTAAGGGGATAATAAAGGGCCAAAGGCAACAGAACTTAGAACTGGTGTAGCGAATTCCCTAACCACTGCAGCTTGAGGGAGGGACCCTGAGACAAGATGGTAGGAAGTAGACGCTTGGGTGGGGGGGTTGGTGTTGGGATGATGGTGTTCTACTTATGAACCCCATCATCAACAGTATTGTAAGTCATAGTGACTAAACATTTTAAACTAAGAGCACCAAAGGAGTAGCATCTGTGTAATGAATAAACAACCACTCTCTTCTTCCTTTGCCATATTCCCTAGTTGGAAGAAGTGTGACGCAGGCTGAAGTAGATCTGTCTGCTCTTCGGGATGTGTCCTGCATGCAGTCCGTCCTGCTCTCTTCCTCCTATAGAGAACAGAATTAAACTGAAGTCCAAGATGCCCTGGCCAGACCCATCACTGCCCTCTGAACCACCGTGTAATTGAAAACATTGTTCACAGCCCTTGGTGGTTCTTAGCTTTTTTTTTTAAGCAGAAAAATCTTGTATTTTTTTTTCTGTTTGTTAGTGAGCCCCCAAACCTCCTACATACACCCTGGGCCCTAACCACTGCAGCTTTGCTCTCAAAGGAGAAAGGACCCAAACCTGTTCTGCGTGGGTGTGGATTGGTCATTTACATGCTCATTTCTCTTTCAGTGACTATTTTTGACGCATCCTACTGTGTGCCAGACACTTCTAAGGCCGAAGGGGGAAGCACAGAATGAAAAATTCAGTATATTTTTCAAGGAGATTAGTGAGAGATAGAAATAA